GTGCCCTGGCATTTGGCATTTGGCAGCTATTCTGTGTCGATTCCCGGCACAGTGTCTGGGTGTCATCGGAGCTGGTGAACCGGAGAGAGCCGTAGAGCCGGAGAACTGGAGGAGCAGCAGGTGAATGGGATCGGATTGCCTGACGACCATCCGACTCTCCGCCACTCGTCTGGCTGAGTGCCAAGTGTAGTGCAATAAACCTGCCGTCCTGAATGGCTGGCAATCAAAGATTTGAATGCGAGATACGATGACATTTACTCGCACATTCAATTGCGCTTTTGATTTGAATATTTACATGCTTGCCGGGTCGTAGTCCCAGTTCCGAGTCGAGTTCCGAGTGGAGTCCCTGGCCCCTGGGGGCTGACAAAGGCAAAGGCATTCTTTCATGTCCTTTTCCTTCTATTGACACAGCCAAATTGGCTTTGCTGCACACGAAGAAATGTAAGAATCACAAATATTTGTGGTTTTTTTTAACAAAATATCAACTGTAAAAGAGTTTTAAAACATTATAAAATATATATTATTTATATTGCATTCAAAAAAATATCTTTAGAGCAAAATAATACAAACTATTAAATATTTTTTCTGTCTGTGATACCATCTTGTATAGCAATTCAAACTAAAGTTCAGAAAATTAGTAATATATAGACCTTAAAAACAAAAATATAATCTTTTTGATCAGCTTTCAACATTCACATTTTTGTTTGTGTTTTGTTTAAAGTAATTTACTTGGCTTTGTATTTATTTCTGTGTTTTTTTCTGGGTGCCTCTGGATTAGGCCCTAATTGATTTTCAAATGTTTCCCCAACGTCTTTAGGTCCAGTTGTCTGTATTTAAACAACTTAGTTAGTTGGTATTTTAGTATGCCTTGGCATACTTAGCTGCAGATGTGCGTTTCAAGCATAAACAACTAATTTGCCTAATTGATAAGCCATGCAAAGGCATCTCAAGACGTCTTGACTCGACTTCACTTGACTGGGGGCCTGTCTTGGCCGGAATGGCTGCATTTCTGTTTCAGTTTCAGTTCAGTTTCTATAGCTGTTTGCTTTGTCCGTCAACATCTTTTGAGCGGAGGCACTCAGGCGCAAACTGTTGCACTTCAGGCCGAAGAGGAGCTGGAGAGCTGGTCCACAAACTGGTGCTGGAAGCATGCATACATAGTATGGAGTATCGCCTAGGACCCCCATTAATTGCAATCAATTTCGCTGTCAACACACACTCCAAATAACTGCAGGATATTTATTTATGCTTTATGCGGTTCCTGCGCTGCCCTTCAGCCAACTTTTTGCAACTGAATAATTGCCTTATGACACATTATCATTATTATTAAGCCTGCCACGATGGGCCAAGAGTTATCATTATCTTTTACCCATTTCGCCCCGGGGGCCCACGTATCTGGGAATTAAAAAGTCAACAATGAAATGCCAAGTGGCCCAAGTGGACCAAGTGGACCAAGTGGGCCCAGTGGCTCTTCTTGGCTCATAAATATATTTCCAGCTGGCAACATTATATAATTATTTTGCCATGGATCGGATTCAATGCCGGTCGAGTGCGTCGATGTTTCTCGTTGGCCGTTCTTGCCGCAGGTTGCGACTTCTCATCGGCTGCAACAACAATCTTTTTAGGCCGGCAGCAAAATCGGCAGCAGGCCGCTGCCTTTGCGTGAAATTCATTTTAAAGTGCAAATATTTGCGGCCTGCCCAGTTGCTTAAAAGGGAAAAACTGGGCGAAAAAAAAATATATATATATACTATATACATGCACAGAGAAACCAGTAATGAAATTGTGTGGCACTCGTCATTGCGGCAATGAATGCTTTTACATATAAATTATATAAATATATACACATTTGTATTGGACATTGGCAGGCCTACAAAAAGAAATGCCACCAGGTATGGGATATTCGTCCTTACCGAACAAGGATATATAGTTTTCAAGAATTAAGGAACCCTTTCCAAAAGGTTAAAGAATAATTTTAGGTATTAAGTCCTCACATCTGATGAAATCTTTTCTTATTTTTAAGTAAAACTACAATTTATCCATATTTTTATATAATTATACTTCATTATACTTTAAGTATATTATATGTTTTAAGTGATATTTGAGGACAACTTTATTTATCTACCTTTAATCTTTTTTAGAGTTCCTGTTTTCTTTTGATTTGAGTAACTAAAATACTGAAAATTACTTTTATAATTTATTGATAGTTACTCCCAGTTACTAATGCAATTTTATTACCAAGAGACTCAAGACCACAAGCAATAAATATTATTAACAGCTGAGAAAATACAACAGCTTAAACTTTTTCCCCATATCAAACAATAAACCAATTTGTATTTAAATTAAAGAATATCCCAACTAGGGTTTCCAACACAACTTGTGCATCTCTGGCCAATACAAACTTATTATATATACTTGCGAAAGTTGTGCACTGTAAATATTTGGACCCACCACCTCCACTTTTGCCATAGCAGCGACGGGAGTCAGAAATGGGAAATGGGTGAGGGAAATGAGGGTGGCAACCGCAGAGTATGCTTGACTTTGGTTGGAAAATACAAAAAAGAATAAATAAAAAAAAAAAATACAGAACTACGCAGTCCGTTGCCCCTCCGCCGGGCCACGTTTATTGATGGCCGCGGCGGCAAGTGCTTTAATGGAAATTTAAGTATCATCGTTTAAAATGAAGCAGAAAAGCGCAAGGCAGCGGGAAAAGGCAAATTCCGAGCTGGAAATGCGATAGCGAGTGCGACCCTCGGCGGAGCCTTGGTCATTGCGTTGGCAACGCAAATTATTATTTTTATTATTATTGCAGGTTTTTTGGTGCACATTTATTTTATGCAACTTTTACAGCACTGCACATAGGAATTATGTACAGGCGCGGACCGCTCTAATGGAGATTGTAAAAAAAAAAAAAGAAACAACAAACCAGTAAAATGCGAAATCCCCGTCAAAGGGGAAACTGGAATCTCGGGCATTAAGCAAAAAGCTAACTAAAATATGCAACGGAAGCGGTAGGGAAATTTGATGGGCGGCGGCGTCGTGAAAAAGCCGTAAAACTTGGCCCGTAATGAGCTACGGTGTGTAGTACATCAAATATGCAACAATTAAAAGTGACAACAAAACTGAGAAACCGCAACCGAGAGAAACACAGAAAGTATTACAAAAAATTGCTCATCAAAATTAGATGTCAGGCAAATATTTGAAAGTACAAATTTATGCCAAGCTGCTTAGTTAACCTGACGACGGTTGTGGGTGTGGGTGTGGGCACTTTTAACACCCTTTTTAGGGAGTCACTTTTGCATTAACAAAAACCGGGATCGTAAAAAAGACAAACAGCACCCAACACACCCTTAGAAAGTTTGGGTTAAACCGATTTGTGGATTTATTTAGGCCACCACTTTTGGCATTAGCCGAGGCAGCTTCGATTTCCCAGGATAACCTATAAATCCTTTCGTGGAGATGGTGCCAGGCTGGCCCTCTCATATTTAATTCCATTGAGAGGGAGGAGGGTCTGCTTTTTAAAGGAGTTCTTAAAGGGACTATCATTACATACGATTTCATTGTTCACTTCACTTTATTCGGCTGACCGGAGCCCATTAATTTGTCTATATGCTATTTTTTTGTAGCAGTTTGATTTATTTAAACTACTAATTTATCGCCCTTACAGTTGATTTGGCAAATAATATGAAATTGATTTTAAATCTGTGCGCAAATAAGTACCGAGGAGGCTGGTTAATTCCAACTTATCATCATTAACAATTAATTATGCAGATACATTGTCCGATATTGAGGGGGTGATTGGAAAAGTGTGGCAGTTTAGTGCCTATTAATTATTCGGATGATTCATTAACAAATACTAGCAGACCTGATCCGCTTCGCTGGGCCCGGCAAACGTTATTCATTTAGAAATAATTTTTTTTAGTTCAATAAAAATATTTATCTACTACAAGTGTTTGGAGATGTACTTATATTGCAAAGCTTTCAAAACAATAAAAGTTTGTATTTATTTCTGTGTCACTTTTTCTTAATATTATCAAGTTATGCTGGGACAAAGGGAAACGGGTTTCATTTTTATATAATAAATAAAATAAAGACACTTTTAGTTCCCAAATCACAAAAAAATAAAATGATAAACTATGTCTGCAGCTGGTAGACAATTTTAATTACAACAAAATGGAACAAAAAGCAACTATTAACATATTTCCTGTTTGTATTTTCCTTTAGGGCCCCGCCTTAAAGTTTAATTCGAGTTCATTTCCCTCCAAAAAACACTCCTGTCCTGTCCCAAAAATAAAAACTCCCTCTCACCTTATCTCAGCCCTGTTGGCAGGCAACGAACGACAACAAAAAATTATGATTTATGTATTTAATTTAATGTTCTTGCTGTTGTTGCACTCCCTCTAAGAGGACGGACGTCTGGCTGTATGTGTTTATTTGTCAGGCGACAACGGGATAATAACAGAAAACAAGACCGAGGGGAAGAGAAGCGGCGGGTGCGAATCCTACGGAAAACGATTTCCTTTGTTGGTTTTAACGGCATTTCGCTGTTTTAAAGGCATTAAATTATCTTGATATTGTTGCTCTTTTTTTTTTACGCTTCTTTCACCTCAACATAAAAATGAAAAATGTGCGGCAAGTTAGCCGTGCTTTTGGTGAATCATTCTCCTCCACAAGTCTCAGACGTCCCGGCGCGTCCCTTAGGTGTTTTCTTCCGCCAGTAATTATAAATATTTTTGCTGGCTGTTTTTTTTTTTAGAGTGCATTAATAAGTAAATAGACAAGGGAAGCCTTGAATTATGCAAAGTGGGAACTTAGCTCGAGCAAATGTAAATATAGAGAGCAAAATATTCAGCACACCAATCTCTTATTTAGTATTTTGCCAGAAGATACCACAACTACTAAATAATTGATATTAACAGAATAAATAAAAAGAAATAAAAATAAAAATAGTCACTAAAACACCATTTAACATCTTCCCAAATGTTAAAACACACAAAAACTTCAGCTTAACATACATTTTATTTTATAAATTGTAGTTTTCTGTGTTAACTATGTGATATCTCTACATATACATATGTAAGCTCTATAACAGACACTTGGGGGAACATTAAACAACAAGCGATTTCCAAGTCCAATAGCAAGGCTCTAGTGCACTTTTCTTATTTACGAATACGGTTATTAACCGAATACGGTTTAAAGCCCGGAAAAGAAAATTCTCCGCTATTATGTGTCCGTTCTTTATCGCCGACAAAGGGATTTATAAGATGGAAATAGTAACCCTGTTGGTGTAATGGGTACTTGGGAACTAGGTAATCCATTCTCATGTTCCGCCTTATGGCACAGTTAATATACTTGTTCCAATCTGTCATTTTTGCCGTGTGACACTGCTGTGAATCTCCCACATCCCAGATCTCCTTCCGAAGATCCATCCACACCGTCCGAACGTTAAACCTTCTGCTGTACACACGCGGCCTTAAATATTGCATCACGGCCGGATTGTTAAAGATCGTGGACCTACGAGCGCAGACTGTGGGTAGGTCGGTAAAATAAGTTGCGGTGGTAATAATTTGGGGTACTTTTTCTTCTCGATATGTCGAAAATGTCATCATGGGGGCCCGAAACTCAACGCTGGGACTGCCGCGGTGATACTCCTTGAAGCGTGTATCTTCCACTGGATCTCCCAAGGTGTCGCCCCAAGTGTCAAACACTAACTTTCCGAACCTATCAGTCTTTAAATCCGGTACTGAAACAGTCATCTCGGTCATCTTAGTGGAACTATCGGCAGTTTCATCTGTATCCGACTTTTGCTTGCCAAAGAGTTTAGCTTTGCCCTTTGATCGTTGATTAACAAAATCATCGCCTTGACCCTTTCTCCAAATGGGATGTATCTTTTTAATTCTACCATCAGAGAGTTTCGGAAACAACACCATCCCGGCCGCTGGTCCATGGACAGCATCGTTTTGGGTAGGTTGTGTATTGTGGTACTTGATCGGAATGGATTGAACCAATAAATGACAGGTCTGCATATTGGATAATTGTAAATAAATTGTATTATAAAACAAATGTTTATTCTAAACTCACGCTTAAAAAGAGTCCAATTGAAATTACTTTTATATACATTTTCCCCGTTTAATTTTAACTGTCTGTCGGTGTATGTTAGCCGCGATGAAATTTAAACATAAACCCTTTCAGGAAAATGACATATAGTCCCAGGCATGCTAAGAGATCTGGCCTTAAATGTAAAAGAAAGTGTTAATAATTTAACAAAAGGCCAATCTGCAATTGTTTTCCACATTTAACTAATATTTAATGTAAAAAGTAATTAGTAAATTGAATAAAATAATTTACCAATAAGCCAACTTTTGATCTAGAGTTATTGAACAAATGTTTCTGGCTTCCCAAATTCAAATTGAATAAATTTCCTTCATTGAAAATGTTTTCTTAATTAAGCAGACAGGTTTTTGGGTGAAGCGAATTCATTGCAAAGAATTATACAATGCAGGCATAATTGAATCCCGCGTACCTACAGATAAAGTGCTGTATTATTCGGGATAATACGAGTGAACCACTCCGAATTCACTCCGTGTGCATAACTTACCATGGCCGCGGCCCTCCATTCAGGGCCCGCAGACATTGTAATGAAGAAGCTTAAAATAATTAACCGGCCAGACTCCGCCGTTCAACGATAAAAGAATCGCAAAAGCGTTTAAATAACACAACAAATATGCCTTCATATGGATTTAAATAAATAGTCTGGCTGGCAGGGCAGTGCAGTGAGTGAGTGCAAAGTGCGTTAACATTAAAGCCAAACCGTGAACCAATATTTTGCCAATGTCCCCCATTCAGGTCTCTGGTGCCCAGCCCCAAAACGTTATTTATTTCCCGATCATTTATTTCATATTAATTAAATATGCGGTTTTAATATATACATTTAAATCATACACAGTCGCGTATTTATATATACATATGTACATCATTTGGACGGGGGGGCGAGGAAAATCTGTTTTTAAGCTGCAGTCCAAACCAATGGAAAGAAAACATTGAGGGATTTCCCCTTTATGCTTTTTGTATCTTTTTTCCAGTGACCGCAGTGGGAACGGAAAATGCAACGAAACGAAATGAAAAGCTTTGACAAGCATCTGCTGTGGGCGGTTGTCGAGGGGGGGTTGGTGTTTTTGACAAATTGACTTTGCCAGCAATAATAATAATAACAACAGCAACGGCAACGGCAGCCAGAACGATTTTCAAGTACTATATTTATATTGATTTCAAACGAAACTTGAAATGCAAATGACAGATTTATTTTCATGCGATCGTTCTGACGCTGTCAATCAAATTGTCGAAGGTGTTGATTGATGTCTAGTCGCGTGGTTTGGAGTAAAAGTACGTCCGGGGGGTGATTCGGTCGGCGTTAAGAGCATTTCAAATATTTTTGACAGCCCTCCGAATTTACAATTTCAGCTTCTTTTTAGGGCCAGACTAAGAAACAGTGGTGTAAAAAGTGTTTGAACTCGTGAATGTAAATGTATTCAGTGATTATGGATGATAAAAAATCGATATATTGATATTATATCGATTATTAGCTCGAAAGCCGGTAAAAAAGATTATAGTTTTCTTTCTATATCTCTGTATTTGCATATTTAAATTTTCTGTTTGATAATTCCAACCTTCAAAATAGAAAAAAATCAACAGTTTTCTATAAAATCGAAAATATTAAATGCAAAAATTGTTCGATATTTAAAAATTCAATATATTTTCATTCGATAACAGATTCCCTGAAATTTTTATTTATATTTATCACATATAAGAAGTGGCATTCCAGGCATACTGTGTCCAGCTGTTGGAAAATGCTTGAGCGAGCTTTTCCCATTGACGTAAGCTGATGCCATGGGTACTGAGTCTCAGCTACTGAGTCAGCCATTCAAGCGATCATTGGACCTGCCCAAAAACTCAATGGGGCATGTGCAGCTTAGTGATTACACGGAACGCAGCAGCCATTAAAGGTGCTCAAAGAACAAAATATACATATATTTATGAAAATCGCCACAAAAATTGCTATTAAATTTTTAGCCTATATTTCTTTGTTCACTGGCTCTAGACACACAAAAAACTTTGTTCGCAGGTGCTAAAAATTCGCAGGCGCGGCGGTCCCTGCCTTTGTTTGGGTTTTGTCGAGTGCTGTAATTTGTTTGCATGTTTATTCATGGAAGCGTCGCAGGAGCTGCAGACACCGTGTAGACGGGAAAATAAATACTGGCTAACACACACACACACACACACTGGCACACACGCACTTGTACAATGCGAAACGCTTGCAAAAGCCGAGTTAGAGCGGCCCGCTGACACTCGCGTCCTAAATAATTCAACGCACAGCCAAGCACAGCTACGGTGAGATAAATAGGACATTATGTGGCTTAAAAAAGGAGTAAAATTTTAGACTGTATCGGAAATTAATTATTCGTGATTGGGGACCCCAAGGCAAGCTAACAGAAACATATTTAAGTATTGTCCTTTATGATTTTTACTTAGTTACTTAAGTTACTTTCCAACAATTTCTTTATTAATCTTGTTACAGGAAACCATAAGGTATGTATATTTCCTATTCACTTGTTTGTTACTAATTTTCTGACCCCCATCGTGCAACAGCATCAGCGAAATTGAAAGCTTAAACGGCAAGAGGAGAGAGCTTGACATCTCTGGCAGTGCTTAAAAACGGGCAACGGAAGAGGAGGCTAGGATCAAAACGAGGATACGGTGGAGCGGCGAGAAGTGCTTTAAATGGGTTGCAGGATTTTGGGCACCATTTACATGTTGGAAGGCAGGAAGGAAGGAAGCAAGCAAAGAAGGGACCTCCGCTCATTGGCTTTCGTCGAGGGGTTATCCTCTTAGCTTAACCCCATAAGGCCACAAAGGATGTTTAGCTTTATTTATGTGTCGAAAAAATGGTAAAAGTGGAAGTAGACTGAAGAGGGCTGGGGGAATTTGGGGCTCATGGATTATGCACTAAGGATATATAAGGATTTTATAGAAAACCTTTTGCTATCTGTAGAAGCAGCTTAATTCTACATTAACTGCATTTATTTTGATGAAAAGAAAATGTGTTTATCAAGTACATATAGTACAGATTTATAAGTATGTATTCGTGACTTTCAAATACAGGTCCCTGTAATACCTCTTCTAATTTTCTAAACGTATCCTCAATACTTCTAATAGACTTAAAACTCTATCCATAAATTTCCATATCCGCAGTCCAGTCTCTTAATCGTTCACCTACCCTACCACACCTCTATCTACCTCTGGCCTCATTCAATTTCAACTTTTTGCACTTTTGATGCAGTTACTTGGCATAAAACTTACAAAAAGCACTGAAGCACCAGAACTCCGCTCTCCACACGGAATTCAATTAAAAACTTCAACTCCCCTGTGGCGGAAAGAAAGGTGAAAAAAATATAAGGGGGCGACGGGGATTGAAAACAAAAAATAAAAATCAAAGTAGTACGAGTATTTTTGATTTTCGTTCGCATATTTTGTGTTATTGGTTGAAATTCTATACAAGCTGATAGCGATGCAAAGTCTCACCGAGGGGGAGGATTAGGGCCGCCCACCGGGAACAGAAGCTCGGTTTCCCTGGCCAACTCACACAAACGAAATAATCCAATGTACATATTGTATTGTGCGATAATATGGAACGAAGTCGGATCTGCCAAAGCGAAGCTCAGTAGTCGTCCTCCACCGCTGTGGAAACTTCCTTCCCCCTTTGTTTAACAATGCTTTCCACTCGGCTCTTTTCTCTCTCGATGGAGTGCGTTCATTTAAATTTTTTGCAATTTTTAGGCAGTTTTATGCTTGGCAAAGCCAACAACTGGCGTACAGAATTCAATGGGAAATCATTTCAATTTTCCTAGAAATTTGCATATATTCTCGACCAAGTCTGTGTTTGTTTGTTTGTTTGTTTGTGTAGGTGGAGGTGTATGAATCTGTATATTGATGGTTTTGTGGAAAAGAATTGGCAGAAGTTAAAACCCATCAAAGATTTCATTGAGGTAAAGCCTTAACAAAAACTCAAATTACACAGGGAAACACTTAAAACATGTACAAATTAATTATTAAAAGAAATTATTTCATTTTGGAAAATATAAACTGTGTTTTTTGGGTAAGTCTTAATGTAAAATACCTTTTTCTTTCATTTTCTTCAAATAGAACAGTTTTTTAAATATTTATTTACAACAAAATGTAATTTTATTATTCTTTCCCAAGCTGTAAATATAGAGGACAGTCCTGGGAATATTTTAATAAATATATAAATATATAAATATGGTATATATATTTTTTTTTGTCAATAAAATTACAACTAATAATGAAGCCTCAGTGTATTTGGTTGTTCAGGCAAATAAAAATTTGCTTATTCGCCCGGTTCGCCGACTTCTTGAGCTGGCAATAAATTACTCGACAGATAAAAGTAATTCGAGAAGAGTAATTGAAATTGTAATTGTCGCAAAACGATGGCGAAGACTCCGTCAAGATGGTGTTCTCCCCTCGAATTTAGACTTGATTTTTCCGCATTGATTTCGGGTTCGGGCAGCTGGCCGTCGCACTTTGTTTGCCTGCGGGTGTTCCCTTTATTTTTTTAGTAATATTTTTTTTTGCCAACTCTGCATACGACAAATAAAAGATAATGCTGATTGCAAGTGTTCCGGGGAACTGTGGTCCGCAGGCTGCTGGACTGACCCCCGGATGGGCAACTGGCCAGCCGGAATGTGGCAACGGTTGGCGCTAATGTCACCGTCTGGGCCTTTTTGGCAACTCCAGCTGCCCGGCTACTTGGACTTGGCCATTCCCCCCGTCGCCAATTGGCAGTCGTACGTGAGTTCTGTTTATTTTTATGTGACAATGCAAAGTAAGTGCACTTGAGTTGGACTCCACTGCTGGGGATGTGCATAAAAATCAGTGAGCTTTAAAATTAACGATGCATCGCGCTCAATTACGGCAGTATAAACAACCTCATCGGCCGGCCCGCTTCCATTTCCGGTTCCGCTGGCTCTGCACGGTCCCTGGTATCCCTCCGGATGTGTTCCTGGGTGTGGTCCTTCTTCTGGTGCCTCGCCTGAATGTGGGCGAGCTCGGCCCTTAGCTCCGCCCGGCATGCCTGCCATAATTGTTTGGCTAGGAAAAACAACAGCTCGCAGATGCCAATCAGCGAGAAACCGGCTATAATGCCGCAGATGTTGCCAATTGTACCTGGCACGGGGCATAATGGTGGGTGAGATATGCAAAATTGTGGCGGGGGTTCCGTCCCCAAATACTACTCACTGAAGGTCTCGTACCAGGCGCTCTTAATAATCTGCCGAAAGTATTGAATGTGCGTTTCGGCAAAATAAATACGAACCACGGCCAGCTCGGCAGAAGAGGAGGAGGAGGATGAGTCCCAGCCGGATCCGGAACTGGAGCCGGGGCCGTAACTGTTATTGGCACGCGGTCCGGGACGGCTTTGCCTGCAAAATGAAAATCTTTTACGATGTCATGGGAGAGAAGATCCAGTGTTGCCGGTATCCAAAGCCAAATTGTTATCGAAATACGAAATAAAATCTTTATACTTTAGAAAACGTAATGTTATATAAAAAAAATAATAAATATTAAAATACTTAACAAAAATCAGAAGCAAAAGAAATATAAAAACTTAATTGTATAAAAGAAAGTTTCATAAATATTCCTTTTCAATTTCAAAGCCCCTTAAGTTCCTTAAACTCTTTTCCTTAAAAAAAAAAATCCAGCATAAACAATCAATAAAAAGGCTGAATTGGCAACACAGGAGGAACCCATCCCTCAGTCCGGGACCGACTCCGTATGGAAATTGAAAAGAAAGCCGTTCATGGAAGGCAAATTGAAGCAGCGAACGAATCGCCATTTCCACCGCAATGAATCTGCCGTTCCGGTGGACTTACGGCACACTCCTGGCCGGAATGGTGGGCGGTAGGCCCAGGGTCATGGCACCCCGCACGCTGTAACGGGTCTCCGTGCAGCTGGCCAGGCACAGCGGACAGTAGAGGGCATCCTGCAGCTCATGCTCCAGCCCCGTCACATTTTCGCGACTGGTGATGACATTCAACCACTTGACTGGACAGGAGCAGAGACAGAGGAATGAAAAGGAGAAGAGGGAGATATTTATTCCCATGAATATGCGATTAACTCCACTTCAGGACCCACACTGGTAACGCCGAAGACAAGCCAGGTGCTGCAGCGTGCAGTAGATGCGCTTCTCGTTCCCATCGATGTACCTGTGCGGCAGACTGAAGGGCACGCACTCGCAGAGGCTGACCACGCTCTGGGCTCGGCAGGCGGAGATGCACTTGCTGAAGGTGTAGTGACGGGCGAAGATCCAAGGCATCTCGTTTTCGAACAGGCACTTGCGCTGATTTCCGAAAATTGTACAAAAAATGGAATAATATTTTTCATAATATAAGGATATTTAGGGCTATTAGGATTATTTTAAATGTATTAAGTATTTTGTAGTTGTTACACATTATAAAGTTATTAAAACCTCACCACAGATGTACTCATGCTACGAGCCTCAGGCAAAGTCTCGAATATTTTGGCCCGCACTGGCAAAAGAGTGTTAACGCCCGCCGCGGCGATACGTTCAGCAACTCCGCCAGAAAAGGGATCCGGATAACTGTGCGGCTCATAAATGGAGATCTGAAATATCCTTACTTAAGTGTTAAATAAATTCTTTGAATATTATTTTCAGGGCTCACCAGAAATCCATTGTGCCCACTGATCTTGTAGAAACTGTCCTTGGGCTGAGTCCTTAAAGTCAGAACCAAGCCCATGTCAGGACCAAAGTAGCGCTGACGAAAGTCCCTTTTATTGATGTACCTGTAAGGGGATTACATGAAAAAATAGTAAATAATCCAAATTTAATCTTAAATTATTTTCATAAGAAACCTCCCTTCCATCATAGTTAAACGTGCAGCAGAAGCCATGGCTCGTCAACGTCTCCTCAAACTGATCCATGCAGTTGAAGAGTCCTCCTGCTATCCTGCAGCTCACAAACATTTCGCTGCAGTTCGGAGTCAAAGCATGCATCCTTTTCCTAGTATTAAAAAACAGATCCTCGGCATCCGTATCAAACCTATCCAGGAAGCTCTGAAAACGAAGGGCATTGTCTATGTCCTGCAGGTCCGTCGAATCGTAGTACCTGTACATAAAAGTCTTCAGTTGGTCGTAGAAGAAGCTGGAATTGCGCATCTTGGGATCCTTGCTGCTTCTATTAAAACCAAAAGAAATATTTAAAGGACTTGCAGGGATCTCACACACAGGATTGAACCCACAAATCATGGGCATAACGCCAGGCCGCACGCCGCGAGATGCGGTTTAAACTGCACACGGAAACCGCAGGAAACTCCACCTTCCAAATGGGATACATCGGGTGGTACATGGTGGTTACCAGGGCGTCCTGCTCATTGGTGTAGGTGCCCCAGAGGAATGCAATTAGGGCGCTGAGGGCGGTTAGATGGAAAACGAACCAGAAGAAGCTGCGGGTGATACGGATACATCCTCCGATTTGGTAATGGCTAATGCTAATTGAAAAGAACCCCGACTCCGGATGGGATTGGGGGTGGGTCACCTACCGCTCCTGAATTCGCCGACCCTGCTCCACCAATTTTCCGTAACAATGGAACGACAGGTTCTCCAGCAAATCCTTTAAAGCGGCGGCAAATGACAGTTTTCGCGCATCCTCCGCGGAAGTGGCGGTGGGCACAGTCGCAGGTTGAATGACTATTTTTCCGGGGTTGGGTATCCACCAGGCGGCTCGACCCACCGCCAGTCGAACGGGCAGCCTCTCCGGCTCTCGCTTCGGATCTCTGAACTCCATGGAAGCTCCTGTTCCGTCTCGATTGCAACTCGTCCAACACTGGCATTGTTTCAGCGAACGCTGGCTGATTTTAATGAAAATTTCGCAGTCATGTCGTGCGTGTTGTTGTAATTAGGCCTGGTGCTCCAACTTATTGCCAACAAATTAACTGCGACATGGCACGTGGTGTTTTCTAGGAAGGGGAAGCCGATGAGGAGAAGTAGCAGTGGGTAGAACCAGGAGCCATAGGCATTGGTCCTGCTCCCGATTCGTCTTGGCAATTTCCCTTAATTGTCAACAATTTAAAATGAAATTAGTTAAATGCGCGTTAAATGTCAGCCAGCGGAAACATCATCATCATCAGCGGCGACAGCAGCAGGAACAACTTGTGTCCTTGTCCTTGTTCTTGTCCTTAACCCCCGAAAAAGAAACATGTTTCTCACTCCAACGGATTATGAGCTGCGTAGGACACGTTTTGGTGGTGGCCATAGAGATCAAGATTTTTGAACTCTGACTCTTAAAGCTGATTAAATATTTTGGTAATTAGTTTACAACAGGTTTTGCTTTTTTAAGCAATTCGTTTGCTTGGGGTTTTACTAAATATTTTATATTAGTTAATTAATAACATTGATCCAAAATTTTTAAGGCAATTTGTCAGAGTGAAATCATCATCTGTCTCTTAGTAGAAAGCTTCCCTTTGTCATTAACACTTCTCTATTTAAGTGATGATGGGGTTAAATCTTTCAGTGATATTTCTAAAATAAAACTACAGATTTCAAGAAGAGGATATTCAGCTAGATGACAGACAAGAAATTGAATTTTCAACCCAAACTTCTATGATATAGAAGTTTAATGATACCAAGGTTCCATTTTCAATTTTAAAGCCTGCTATGAAATGTGATTGTTGAAACATATTGGCACGAACGGAAATGACACATTTTCGACGGTATAAAGTTGATACCTTGGATTGGCGACAAATGGCTCTCCAGGTGAATGGGGAACACCTCATGGTGAACGCCAGCAGCAGCAGCCAAATTAATCTGCAAATAAGCAAGTAAGAGAAGGAGAAGAGGCCAGAGTCGGCCAAGATAAACGCACAAAGCGCCGGGAAAAATCTGGGAAAGGTATGGAGGGTATTCTCTTTCTTTTCCACCTACGAACGGAAACGGAAATGAAAAATGTGAAAAATGCAATGCGCAGCGAGACGCGAAAAGCGACCAACACTGGGTATGGGACGGGGGACAGGTGGCAGAGGGTAAGGAGAAGGGGCAGAAAAAATTGCAAATGCAAATTGTCTACGGAGTTACTGTGCGTGCATATGCGTGGCACACGGCGTATGAGTAACATCGATGCTGACTTGTCCTTTATCTCGCATCCACCTTACCTTGCTTCGTTTTGGTCCTCCGCCTTTGCCTCCTCCTCCGGCGTTAATTCCGGTGCCAATAGTTTGCCATATCTCTTTGCGAGTATATATGGCGCAGTAAATCTGTCATATTCAGACAAAGCCTCAAGCCAAGTGTATCCTTGCCTCATTTCTCTGAGCCGGAAGCCTCGCTTGACATGGGGAAGGGGAATTCCCTTCTTCCTCGAAAGGGACACCAGCTAAATTGATTCCCAATATTTATTTTTGACTTCCTCTGTTTGAATTTTGCAGGCAATTAATATTTCTTATTAATGGTTCAAATATAAACAATCGAAAATGTAAGTTAGCGAGCCGCTCTTCTTTTTAATTAAATATTTTTTTTTTTATTTTTTTTTAAATTAAATAGCTTAAATAGCTATACAAGAATTTTTAGCTCAAATAAAATTAAAGACTGAATATCTTTAGAGACCGCCAAACCAATTTGAAAGTCAAAATAAACAAGTTTTAAGGACCTTCTAAAGAAACCAGATTTGGCAATTCCAAACGAGCTTTGAAAGCTTTTAAGTTTCTAGGTTGAAAACTCAGGACTTCCAAGGACCTTTTAAACAATTGCTTTTATAAGCTTGCTAAACAAATAAATATTAATGGCTCTTCTGAGAACGAAAAGCTTAGCATAAGTTTAGGCAAGAGCAGACACTCTGTTGTAAGCTCATTGCTATAAAACAGAGGCTTTTAAAATATTTGTTTCTCTTGTTAAGGAAACATTTTGAGCTAATGCGATTATATAATATTTTGATGACCTTGGATAACAATTTTACAATTACAATTCATAATCAGCAAAACATACTTGAATCACTCTAACCGGAACTCACTTAAATGGGAGTTTAAAAACTTGTTCTCAAATAAACCGATCCTCAGACTGATTAAATATATATTTTAATTAAATGTTGACATTACGTAATAACAGTAATTATCAATAATTAGCTCGTTTTTATTGTAAAGATGTTTTGCGTTGAAATAATATCATAAACTTCCTTGAGTTAGAATAAGGAAAAAATATTTCCAATTTCCAACTTCATTTAGATTCAAAAAGTGATAGAAAATAGATATTTCTTTAAATGCTATCTTGTATAACACGATAATATACATCTCTAATTCCCGGATTGGTGTCCTGCAAGCTGCGATAGTTATTTATCAATGGCTTTCTCCGCGAGTCCCTCAGGTTCCAGAGCTTTGCGATCTGACGATGTGGAAATTCAAGAATATCGTCGAAGACAGTCCAAGTCACAGCCTCCGCACAGTCCGGCGTGGTTAGAGATCCTTCACAGAAGATCGTCAGTTGTAATAATTATTATAAAGCCTTTCCTAACTCACCATTGTACGTGTAGAACTGCCCTGTCACTATATTGCCCAAAAGCTGTCCCACATTCAGTTGGCCCGTAATCGTGGCATTCGACTGATACTCCACAATCCGCGGCAGCTGATTGAAGATCTTATTGAGACCATAATGCTGGGTAGTCAGGCGATTAACCGACTTGAACATCACACCCAAAACGGCCAGACCATCCCAATGCTGGGTGGCCTCGGCCATAGTCTCGTAGCGTGTGTTCTTGTGGACGATGTGCATCTCCACATCGTAGCGCTCAAAGTTAATGGCATGCTCCGATCCCTTGCTATCCCGCGATCCCCAGTGGAAGTGGACACTCTGGACCTCAAAGTCCCCGGGCAGCAAAGCCCCATTTATATAGGGACGATGGCCATCGCGAGTAACGGGTAAGACCATGTTTGCTAGGGAAATTATAGATGATGATGGGAAAACTAGAAAAGATTATCTTGTACCTGTGTGTCCATTATTCGTTATCACCAAAGGAGTGCGCAGCGATTGATTATAGTAGTTGAAACGCAGACGGCTTATAGAACTGACCTTGGACTGTTCAAAATATATTATTAACAATCCCTTAAGCTCTAAAAACTTCTTGTAAAAACTTACATCCTGAAAAATCAGATCTATGGGAGACTGCTTCTCACCAGTGGCGCAGGTGCCCTGCCAGTCATCGCCTTGATTATCGTAGTTATACTCACCAGCAGCGCTCTCACCTGCCTGATCTTCCCTTATTTCAGCGAGGTATTCCTCTGGTATCTCTGCAAAAATATTCCAAAAATTACACAACTCCTAACTTAATCCTAAACCACTTACCTATGAAGGCAAGAGTGCACCCCAAGGCGGTCAGCAGAAACCAAAGACTGGGGGAGAACATTTCTAGCAAGCACTTCTGTGTTCCGTTCCCTTTGAAGATTGCAGCAAGACTGTGATTTTCTCGGAACAGAGGAGGATCATTTATACCCTGGCAGACCCTGGCAAGTGCAATAATTTTCACCAAGTGGGTGTGCATAAGAGTCAGATAAGAGCAATCGGTTCTAATCACTTTTCAGCCTAGCCCTGTGTGCCTATGGGCACAATTTACATGAAAATTGCAAATCGCTTTACACTTTTACGGTTGCCAAACCACTTTGGTAATTGACTGTGGCCAAAACGAGAGTCCGTAATTACTAAAGGCGGTTACAATTGTAGAATTTCTTAGACGCTTAAGACAGAAGTAAGTCCCTGATTGCTCTGATTCAAGATTCAAGGGAGTAATTAAGGAGGATCATCGGCGGTTAAATTATTGGAATGGATGGTGATTCGCACTGAAAGTGAATCAGTGGTCACTTTATCATTTCCTGGGCAACTGGCTATGGTTGAATATTGCAAAACTGACGGTTTTAATATCAGCTTTATAGTTAAGCCTATTTAAAGGCTTTAAATAAAATAAAGATTTCATTTTTTAACATTAGTCTTTCAAGTTTTAAAGTTCATAAAATCTCTATAAAAGTTATAGCTTTATTGCCTATAAATGCTGTCTGGAAATCCGTCTCGATTAAAGGTAAACTTATAAAATACTTATCTTATAGTTTAACCAAGACATTTCCACTTCTGAACTTGGGTAACAAATGAGGTATTTATTTTGTTGTCATCATAAGAATGTTTTATTATCCTTTATAAGCACACTTAACCCATTAAGAAGATTATTTCCAAGATAGGTCCCCTAATTCGATTCGTTTACTTTGCCAAGATATTGGTATTATTCCTAAATATTATTCGGAGAATTTGTATTATTTTATAAAGATAATTATAATTTCATTTTTAATGTAAAGGAAACACTTGTTGTGAAAACCCAAGTACTGATTATACATAAAACGGTAGTGCCACTGCTCTTGACCCAAAACTTAATTCAGTCCAGTGCCGAAAAAAATGTATTGTTAAAAATAATAAAGAGAATTGTTTTAAATTGTTCCATAATATTATTCAGTGCATTTTTTATAATTTCCCAAATATCAAGTAATATTCCATTTTTTATTATAAGTGATCAATTATTAAATATATCGAGTCTCTTAAGCTCTCTTGAATTCTTTTTATTCAGTTTCTAACCCTTATTGACATAACGGTTAAGAACAACATTCGTTTTTCTTTCAAAACTATAGGAATTGTGATTTCTGAACACCTCAGACTCATTTTTATTTCATTCATCAAGAAAAGTCTCCCTCTTACGATATTCTAATAAAAAATTAAACAGCTGTTGCAACAAACAGAGCAGGTGCAACCGACTTATTCTCTGCTCTTGACCCGGCTGTTGCACAATTCCCTTACTTTTAGCATATATTAAATGGAAGTAACTTAAGATGCAATAGAAAATCAAATAAAATAGTTACTACTGCAATTTCTGCAAACATATTTCTAAATATTAAATAAACACATTTTATTTAACAAAAACAGATAACCTAACTAAAATAAATACATAATTTACAGGTAACAGCTTATAACATAATAATAATTTCATCACTTTCCCAGGTAAGCCCCGCTCAGATCCTTGCCGGTTCTATAAAACACCGGTCGACCATTTCGCGGCTGGGTAAACCTGTAATTGTTGATCAGTCTGTGGCCCTCAGAGTCCCGCAAACGCCAGAACCTCGAAACCGATGAGTAGGATATCGGCAGGATATGAGAGAACACGGTCCAGGTGACTGCCTCCTGGCACTCCGGCGTGGTCAGTGATCCCCGATAGGTGAAGAAGTCACGGGGATTCAAGTTGCCCAGCATTTGACCCAAGCTCAAGCTGCCAGAGATCTCTGACTTGTCTTTGTAATTGATGATTTTTGGCAACTCGGCGAGGACTTTGTTTAGACCAGGAAAGAGGCGATTTGGATTCTGTAGAGAAGTGTAAAATATTACATAATTTTTTTTTAGATAATAATAATTAATATTCAAGTTATTTATACTATCCAGAGTAATGAATTTAAACTGGGAATTGAACAAGAATATGTATGCGGTAGCTCTTGGTAAATCCCATTACTAATTTTATCATAAAGTTAAGCCAAGGTTTACTCTTATCACCTACTCTATTGATTCACATATTATATATAAAATTTCATTCATAAATATGCACACAGCAAAACAAACACAATAAACACACTTTCAGTTTAATGACACGTACTTTTTTTGCCTTGAAATATTAAGTTACATTTTTATTTCTGGCGTTTGCAATTCTTATATCACGTGAAGTTAGATTAGAAATGTGTTACAAGGAAAAATGCTGTGAGTATAATTTTAAGAATATTTCTCTAGTGCTTTCAAAATAACTCTTTAACCGTTAAACCTTTAAGAAACACCCCCCTTACCTTGACAATTTTAAACATTACTCCTATAACAGCCAGACCATCTTTGTGCTTGGCGGCTTCATTGACATCCGAGTATCTGGCATTCCGGTGGACAATGTGCAGCTCCACATCGAATCGCTGCTTGTTGATCGAGTGCTCAGATCCCCGCTGGTTCGGGGATCCCCAATGGAAGTGGAAGCCATCGGCCACATAGCGACCCTTCAGCAGACCACCAGTTATATACGGCCTCTTGCCGTTAGTCGTGGCTGGTATATCCATGTGAGCTATAATTAACGGTATTATATTATCGATATTATATAAAAGTCAGACCTGACCTACCCGAATGTCCATTATTCTCCAGGGTGAGCGGTCCCCGTAGCTTTACATCATAGTTTCCGAAGAAGATGCGGGGCAATGGCACGATGAGCGACTAACAGAAAGCAAAAGTTATTGAAATAAATTGGCCAGCTCTTTCATTTTACAATAATAATTTCTTTAACAATCATTACCCCTTGTAATGTGAAAAGTGGCGTAAAATAGGCATTCATTTCGAGGGAGCAATTTGTACTACAACTCGTTTTCGCTTATCAAATTAGCTGTCAAAGACTTTCAACGTCGAAGTTGGGTATCACAATGCTATAATCAAATTACATATTCCACTTTTTGAACTTACTCAACATCATAATTATTTAAAGAGCATTACACCGGGAGCCTTTTGCATTTCCGTATAGTAAATATTAAAATTGTCCCTCAAATGTTTATCTTTCTTAGTTTACAATGGAAAAATTCTTGGGGAAAGAATTTGTTGTGATTAAAATGTGTGGGCTGATTAAACTACATATTTTTAGTAATTCCTAACCGATTTTGATCAACAAAATACAAGACGGGGTCTTAATAAATGCGCATACAAATTAGCCCTGAATATTTTGCTCGCATAATTAATACACATTAAGGTGATACATAATTTTAATTTAATTTTTTTCTTTTTTATTTACAAAAAAAGTAAAGAGTCTAGACATAACTATAGAAATTCTTCTGTATATCTTATACTCCTTTAATTATGGATCTCTACAAACCCATTTAAAATTTAGAACTCACTTTTTGAACCGCTAGCTGAAGCGGCGACTGTCGCACTCCTGAGGCACAGGTGCCGCCCCAATTCTCGCCGTGCAGCTCGTAATTCCAATGTGTCACCTTGGTCTCGGCATCTGCAAGTTCGAAATTGTAGCGAAAAACAATGCCTCAAATAGTTTTCACTTTCTTTCAGCCCAGCTAAGCTGGTCGTCCGGTAATCCTATTAGCCAAGACCGTGAATAAATTCACTTCTGTTTCGATCATCGACGGACGACGACTCTCTCATTTATGTCGGGAGCCAAACAAGGTATGGCAGAATGATTAATTATGGAGACCGGTGAATATGGGAGAAAGAGTTTAGACCCGCTGGGTGTTAACTATTAATATTAATAATTTTGGGATTTATTAGTTCCCTGCTCGAACACACACACACACGCACTTCCTGGTAGGCAGTTCCCAGTGGGAGTGCGTTCTGGGCTTGCAATTACCATTTGATGTATGCTGATAGGCGAGAGGCAGCAGTAGTAAAAGCTTGTGAAAAACACTCGACTGCATTGTTGCAGATCTGCGATCCGATGTGATTGTTCTGATTATGGGTTTATATATATTTAATTAATTCTAGCGGGCGCGTGTGTCTTTGTCTTTTGTCTCGAGTCGTTTGAAAATTTTACATAATTTATCCGAACCGATTCGATGCGATGCGAATGCGAGGGAGATGTGCTCTAACGGTGGCAGAGTTACTAATGCTGCTGCTGCTGCTGCTGCTGCGAACGTCGAACAACTGAAACGGCCCACAAATGGCCCGATAACTTTTATAGCGGGGTTATAGTGGAGCGTCGACTCACCGTCTGGGGAGCTGCTATTGGAAGTGGATGTGGAATTGGAATTGGAATGGAACTGTATCCGATCGAATCGGATCTAAATTCGAGGCATAAGTGGGGCGTGATTAGCGCCAAACAGTAGCACCACCAGCCGCAGCCACTAGCAGCAAGTGTGGCGCTCTAATTGCAGCTGTTTGTTTTCGAAATGATAAATGATGGATCTATTTGTTGGTGTGTCTGCGCAATGTGTCGAGGAAAACCATATAAATATAAATGCTGTGGAAATGCGGAAAAGATCTGACAAAGTTTGCTGAACTCTTACACATTCTTTGGGTTTTTTAATTGGTGAATGGAACTAAGGCTTTTCAAAATACAATTGGTTTGGTACTTAAATAAAATAGGTTCTGGCTTACTTTTACAAGCTGGTTAATACTAATTTTGGATAAGCTAATTATAATTACATTTATTTTAAGTTTCATTTTCTGTTAACTAAAACGTTTAACATTAGCTGAATCCTAAATAAAATTACGTTGAAGTTGTAAATTAAATAAGTAATTTTAAATTCAATAAGAGAAATATTTTAATATATAAATTTTAGACAATAGCATTTAGCATTACATAAGATGAAATTTCAACATTCACTAACAAGGCTTTATATATTTATTATAAAGGTTTTTGAAAAACCAACAAAGATCTTTATTTGTTTGAAAGTATTATTATTTCAAAAAAACTAATTTGCATACCTTAAATAATAATTAGGGATGGCAAAAATATTTCACCAAAAACCGATTAAAAATCTAAATTTAATTTTTAATAAATAAATCAATATTATATTTAATAAATAATAAAATATAATTATAAAAAGTTACTTTAAGAAAATAAGTAACTGTTAAAACATTTTTTGATATTATTTTTAATATTATCGACTACAATACTTTTCGAAACATTAAATTTCGAAATTTTCAGAATATTATTGATTTAATATTAAGTGAGGTATGATATATCATATTCAAATTTTCTTCTTGTTATGCATCCCCAACAATAATTAATTTTTTTAACAAGCTCAATGCCCGCTGTGCCATCATACGAAATTCGTACTACGAATGCATTCAAAGAAAGTAGTTTTGCATTTGAATTGTTATCAATGGCAATCTAATGGCCAAATTTTTGGCAAATAATTTGAATTCAAATTGAATCATCCATATTTGGCAGAAGCTGCCGGACAGGTTTCGACTACGTCACTTCCATAACCGCTGGGAAATACTCTGACCAGTTACAGCACACTATATTTTCACCGCAAACTTCTTTGTCGAACGTTCCATAAGTGGGTGACTCACAGATAAGAGGATCCAATTAGACCGACAATGGCCACAAGCGGTGCTAACATCATTTGTCGCTATTATGCTGGGCCGGCCAAGGCGGTTTCACTTTTCCATCATCTCTCGCTCGCTCGTGGACCCAAAGAAAGTGGCTTAACATTTTTCAAGGCTTTACATTTTAACTGTATTTCGTATTCTGTCACTAATAGCTAAGTATTCATGCACACTCGCGGTTTATGTATATTAAAATTAGAATAATGTAAACGATTTTTGATATATGTATATGTAGATGTACGCTTATATGCCTAGTCAATAGAAACGTAACAAGCACGCTGATCTGGGCAGTCAAACTGCAGCCAGTGGCTGTCGCAAACTTCGCGGACAGCTTTGGTTTTAGTACAGAGAGTGGAGAGTGTCAGAGCTCGGTGGCGAAATAGATGCGCCGGCTGGGTCAGAAGTCGCCCACTGTGTGCGACACGAACTCGAACTGCCGCTCCACGCTGCTCTCCACTTCTCCTTCGAGGGCGTCGTCGATAAAGTGCATCTCCACGTGCTCGCGGAAGGCATTGAAGGTCACCTGGCTGTTGTACACCTTGCCGCACATGGGGCAGGTCTTCTCCATGGCATCGGCTGCATCTGCCTTTATCTTCTCCTGGATGATGTTGATGCGCTGGCTGGGCGGCGTGCCGTTATGTCCATTGTACTCGATTGGATACTGCTTGAGTTCACTGCTGAGGCTCTCATCCGTCTCGAGACTCTTGTCGGCCATCTCCGGCTTCTTAGCCGACTTCTGGGCGCAATCTGGGCAGGGGTGCAGCGCTGTTCAAAGATGCGGGAGTGGTTACATGGGGCTACTATTAATACTAACGATCCCTTACCAATACGGCTCTCCAGCAAAGTTAGCGCCGAGCTCAGCTCCTGCTGCTGCTTCATTGCCTCGCGCCGCATCTCTTGCAGCCCGTCCATGCAGCGTTTGGCATCCACATTGGCATCTGGTTCTGTGGTCGGCTCCTCCACTTGCAGGTTGTAGGGATAGGCCAGCTCGCTATCGCCTGTCCCAAAGTCATCCAGAGCTATCTCCTCCAGGCTCAGGTCCCTTAGGCCATCGGATAGCATCTTGTGGCGCAGGTGCGGATTCGGCGAGTGCTGGGTGAAGGTCTTGGAGCGCACTAGGTTCTGGCTCAGGTTGGCACGCGAGTCGGGGGAGCTGGGCACCTGCTGGGCCAACTGCTGCTGCTGGTCCTTGGAGATCTGTGAGAGGCGCGACCAGAGGCGTCGGTTCTCGTTCGAGATCATGCCGATGTGCTCCTCCAGCTGTTCTTTCTGTCGCTGCAGTTCGGAAACCTGTGCGCGCAGCGAGAGGACTTCGCCGGTGCCAGCCACTCCATTGCCGGCAGGAGGAGGCATGGCGGAGGCCTCCCGCAGGCGCTGGTTTTCCTCCTCCATGCCGGCCACGCGGCGCTGCAACTGAATGCATCGCTCCTTTATCGTCTGCAGAGCCACTTGCAGTGCGTAGTTCATCTTGTCGCTGGATGCATTGGAGCTGGTGGATACGGAACTGGCCGGGGCCGTGGTCTTGGCAGCGGTTGCCTCCATTGCGAGTCACCTGCGGGAGCAGGATCTTTGCATCCGATTTCTAGGCCAGCTGAAGTCGAAAGCTAATGTTTTTTTCGTAGATTTCGTTTGATTTCCTTTTTGTTGCGTTCTCATTCGTGTGACCGTGCTTGCAACTCCAAAAAATACTACAATTCGTGACGATAGTTTTAAGCAGCAGTATTTTCATCGTACTAAATAATGTTTTCCTCTTATCATCTCCCAAATTGCAGTATTTCTCTCACGTTATTACCGCTTATCGTTACGTAGTTGCGCAATGTGACCAGTTTGCTTTAAAGAACAGCTGGTTTTGTTTACGCGGCTTATTATCCAACACATTTTCCAATGTTTTACGGCAAGACTTTAGTAAATAATTTCTACAAATATAAGAGAAAAGTATGGCAGAATGTGTGCCCTATCATTAAGCGCTGCAATGCCACCTGCCACCCACCCAAAATTCTCTTCTTTGGCACCGACAACTTTTCCCTGCCCAGCTTGCAGGCGCTGCATAAAAATTGCAGGCGAGTTTTTGATAAAAAATTAACTTTTAAAAAGATTTTAAAATATTATTTACCCTAGTGACCGCCTGGGTGTGGTGACCTCCTTCAAGAGTCCCGCCAACTGCGTGAGGAGCTATGCAGAGCGAGAGAAATTGCCGCTTCAGAAATGGCCCATAGATGCCTCTGTATGTTCCAATTACGACCTGGGAGTTGTGGTCTCCTTTGGTCACCTCATACCTGCTAACATTATTAATGGATTCTCCGCGGGAATGATCAATGTTCATGCCAGTCTCTTGCCTCGATGGAGAGGAGCTGCTCCCATTATCTATGCCATAATGAAGGGTGATGCCAGCACTGGGGTTTCTATTATGAAAATTGAACCACATCGGTTTGATATTGGTGCTGTAAGTTCATAGATTATTTAAGCTAAGAATCAGTTATATTCAATGGTTATATTTCAGGTGCTAGCTCAGCAGGAGGTTCCCATTAAACCTGACGTTTTCATGCCAGAGTTGCATTCTTCTTTAGCTTTATTAGGAGCTGATTTACTGGTGGATACTGTCAACAACTTGTCTCAAAGACTAAGAGAAGCTAGGCCCCAGGATAATACAGCTGCCAGTTATGGTAAAATATCCGACAAATTAAATATATTCCATTTTTAAGCCAACTTTCATTTAGCTCCCAAAATAACAACCAAAATCACAGAGATAAACTGGTCTAAGCTCTCTGCCTCTGATATATACCGCCTGCATAGAGCCCTATATGGTTACAAACCCCTTACCACAAGTTTTCTGGACAAGCAAGTACAGCTTCTGGAAATCCGGCTACCTGACAGCCCCTTGCCCATCCTACAACCCGGTCATTTTAGCTTCCAACGCAAGCGGAAATCTCTCTTGATAGGCTGCGACCAGGAGAGTCAGTTGGAAGTTGTACAATTACGCGTGGAAGGTAGAAAACCCATGAGTGCCCAGGACTTTAACAATGGATTCCTGAAGCAAGCCAAGTCCTTGCAATTCACAAATAGTAAAATAGTGGCATGTTGATAACAAAATGGTAGTTTTAATGCACAATTATAGCTATGGACCTAGGCCAAGTCGGAGGGTTTGACTTCCTTGGTTTCGGACAACTGCTGCGTGGATTTCTGTAGCAGATTCTTGGTGAACCACATGGGACGGGGCTTCTTCATTTCGACAATGCGCTTGCCCTTCAGCTCCTCGGCAGACTGTTCGGCTTTCTCTCCCTCGTACAGAACGATTACTTCCTTGTCGACGGGATCTAAGCCCAGATTCTCCTGGATTTTTTCTTGCATGAGCTCAGTTTCCTTCAGGACTTTCTGGTAGCAAAAGGCTGAGGGTTGGAGATTGATTATATTCGGACTTTAAAATGGATTTCACGAGAACCTACGACACAGGACTCCCAGCTCGTGGTCATGACCACACTGCAGGCACGAGCGGATGTTCCTCTTCTCCCGCAAAGGTTTCCATACATATTCCGGATAACCAAACTTCCGCTTGAGTCGCTTCTCCACGGATCTCCTGTGCTTGGGTACGGCCCAGAAGATGCCATCGCCAATAAGCTGCTTCAGGCTGAATTCCTGGGATGATTTCTGGCCAGAGAGGCCGCTGTGCTCGTGCTGGAAACCGGCCAAAGCCAGCGCTGTTTCGAAGATGTGTGAACTTAATTTGATGAATTTTAGGCAAATAATTCAATTACCAACCTGGGGGATGTCCTCCATGTGGCAGGAACAGGCGCTCCACGTTCCTAATAAAGTTTGTAATTGATAAAAACAAATTTCTCGACATTTTACGGCCAATTGTGCTGGATTTACGTAAACGTGATTAGGGATGGACAAGATTCAACGGCCAAGCTATCGATAACAGGAACATCATCACGTAAAAAAACGTAATACATATTTATGGAAATACAGTTTATGAATATATTTTTTTTTAATTAAGAGATATATTTTTAAAAAAAAATTTTTTATTATATAAAATATTACTTAATAGCCTAAATTTAATTTGTAATATATATAAAATGCTAGTTTTATCAATGGAGAGGCCTATAGGTGTCGAAAATATTCTATGTGACTAAGCAGCTAAGCAACAAATCTTGTTTCTCATTAAAAAATTTAATTTCCTGAATCGTTATCCCGGCAGGGAAAATTCAAATCTTCCGCTCTATTACGACTTCCACCTCTAACGTAGCGTAGCGTGCCGGCTGCCTTACGTCACCATGCACGTTGCAGCCGATATTATTCGTGAGAGCGGTCAACAGCTGGTTCAACAGCTGTTCTGCACTGTTACGTCAAAATAAAGTAGTGAAAAGGTGCAAATTCCCAGCGAGTTAAATAAAAACTATTTCCGAGTCCGGAAAACGCGGTACAAGCGGCATCCTCCAGTGGCTAAGCGGATCTGGAACATGAGGACATTGACGGAGGTCGAGACGTAGTGGCTGGCAGGCGGAGTGGAGCCGTCCTTATCAGCAGAGTGGAGCAAGGGCAAAGCGAGAAGAGCGGATAGTGTGCGTTGCCCACAGGTCCGCGGGGTCACACATTGCCCCCGCCTCCACTCAACGTCAAGTTCAAGCGGCGTTCGGCTCGCACCTCGCAGTGGGGAATCGGCAGCCTGCATCTTCGGCTTTCCGTTTTCACCACAGCTCGCAGCTCACCTGTGCTGGGGATACCTACCACACCTGGCGGCGCGCACGCGCGCATCGTTTCAAAAAAAAGTTGGCTGGCAAAAACACTTCGTTGGAGCTGTTGGAGCCAGACGCAAGCAAACCGCGCTCGAAATCGCCTGTGGACAACCACCCCAAAGCCACAAAGTCACACCGAAATCGCCGCGCATTTCAAAATCGCAGATCCTGCGACTCATAAAAAAAAAGAAAATATTAAGCAAACAAATAAATATCAAGGAATAATGCCGCTTACTATTCAATGAGTGACTCGTCTTGAATTCTGTGAAAAAAGAGCACTGGCCAACTGCACCCGAAAACCTACGAAAAATAAAGCAACAAGAAACCCAAACAAAATATAAATATTAACAAAAAATGGCCTGCTTGAGCACTTCCGGTCGCGTTGTGTGCGGTACGCGTCGCCAGCAGACGCACAAGCTGTTATATCAGCTCTTCGGCACCAGTTCGGGCTCCGTTTCCGGTTCCGGTGTCGGTTCGCGTCCAGGATATGCGGGGAATCCCCATCCCGGTTTGGCCCTGCCCAAGACACAGCTGCAGGCGCAGCGACTCTTTCACGGATTAAGCTTCAACATCGGCAAGGATTACCCCGATCTGATGGTGAGTTCATTGCCAGCTCCAAACCGAACCTGGCCAAGAGTGCATTGGCTGCTGCTGCTGCTGCTGCGCATGCGCCAAGTGTTTGCCGCTAATGCGTCTGCGTGACTTTGGCTTTTGCCAGTCCCGCTTTTCTTTCGTTTTCTTGCATTTTCTTTGCTGCTGCTGAAAGAGTTGCAAAGCCAAAAAGAAAATGAAAGTGAAATTGGTCGCTGGCTTTTGTGCAAGTAGCGTGAAACCGAGGAGGAAAGAAAAAAAACAAACCAAAGGCCGAAGCCGAAGAAAACACAACTTGTTGCGCCCACAGTCGCAGATAGCAAAATTCGCGCAAAAATCGCGATAGTATGTTGTTGGCGGAAGCTGCCGCCGCGTTTATAGTATTTATTATTGTGCTTTAGCCTTTTTTTTGTTGTCATTTTCCGAACTTTTATGTTTTTCCTGGCATTTTTGCAAGGTGAAGTTTTTATCGGTGGCTCTCTTTCGGGTCTGTCCGCTTGCAGTTTGTCATTACTTTTTACATTGTTGACAAGTCTGTGATGATTTTCTTCCTCTGAACTTTTTCATTTCTTTCTTTTGTTATGCAATTTCGCATAGTTACATATTTGCTTAATGATTTATTACCCGTATTTATCAATATTTATAGCCCGTAGAAAAAAAAAAGCACAGCTGATTTCCAGCAGTACATGTGAAACTATTACAGCCCTGTCAAATTGTGACCTGCGCCGTATACGCAATATCCGGCTCTTTGAGTGCAAGTGGCTTTTTCGCGGGGTTCTAATCAAACACGGCAATTGCTGTTCTCTTATCAGCTAACAAAGTGCTATCAGTAATTTAGTTATTTCGTTTTTTTTTTGTAATAAAAATACATCACATATAATAATTGTAATCTCTCAGCCATCTGGCTGAATGACGCGCCATGAGAAATGTAACTTAAACAAGGCTCGTAAATAACTCGTAAACCAATATTATTCACAAAGCTATTTACTCAAAGCTGAGCAATATTTCTTGGGGAAAACATGTGAAGGTTATGTTCTGGGAGCCTTAATTGTTCTATGGCTAAAATCAAAAGGCAATCCCGGCTATTGTCTTTAAATTCAATTGGCCAAATCGAAACCATTCAACCGCTCGCCTTCAATTTAATAGCTTACTTACCGCCTTGAGTGTGTGTAGGCCACTTATTAATGCATAGGCTTCTCTCACATTTGTTTTTTAGTTAATTGTTTTATGGCACGCCACTTAAGCCAGCCAGCCTATTTAGTGGCTTCGATTTAATGGATTTAGCATTGCGAGTGCAATAAATTGAATGCAGTTTGCTGGCCATTATTCAATGGCTTCGATGGTTATATGCACATAACCGTAGTTGGATCTCCAAACCTTGACATCAAGTTGTGCCGTTTTGTCTGATATTTGTCTGAAAAAAAGGTTAAGAGCTCATTTCATTTAATTCACTTTAATGCACACCTTTGATACTCAACACAGCGGCCCTGATCTGCACAGCGCAGCTATTTTTTTGCTGGAAAAATTTACAAATTTTCTCTAGGAATAATTTAATATTTTCATTTATTTTTAAAGACTGGATGAGACATACATATTTCTAAATGGAGATATATTTTCAAATTGTTTAACCTCTTTGAAATATTATAAAAAAAATAGTTTGATAATATTTTAAAGTATCCCAAATTATATTAACTATATTAATTTATTCTTATATTATTTGAATTAAAATAAAAGCATATCTTGTTTCAAATATCACACATATCAATATCCTTAAAATATCATTTATTGATTCTCCTTTAAAATAACCATATCTCTAAACCCTTTAAATAATTCAAAAAATAGTCAAACTCTGGTTTAAATAATCCCATAACGTAACATCTATTTAAAACAAAATAAATGCATTTCTCGGCGCCAACAAAAGCTTGGAAAAGGTAAAATATTTTGTATGCAGCTATCGTTATCGAGTTATTTATGCATTTCGGCTGTTTAAGACTCTGTCTGTTTCATTTTCGAAGCCGAATAAAAATTCATTCGACGCCAAATTGGTTTTATGCCCAACTCACATCCACACACCGCTCAAAACGGGACAAAAGCAAGCACCTGGAAACTGATACGTTCATCTATCATAGGTAAACAATAAACAAAACGCAAATAGAAAGCGCACGTCGCAGCGGCAGAGCAGCTGGCAGCGCTGCTGCTGGCCAAAAAAGAAGAAAAATATAAAATAAATAAAAAACTAAAGGAAAAAAAAAAAAAAAACTACAAAACGCCAACTAATAATAGTCGGCAATGGCAGAAGCAACAACAGCAACAAAATCAAGCGGCGAGCCAACCGCAGCCATAGAAGAAATTCACTTTTAACGGTTTCTTTGACTTTCTTCTTCATTTCATTTGCCAAGCTCCCCCGCCCCTCGACCGGCCATTGTTTTGGCCAAAAGAAACCAGACAAAAAAAATTAAAGTAAAGGAAAATAAAAGTTTAGAGTCTTTATCTATGCGCCACACGAATTTGGCAAGAAACTGATTGGCCAGCTTTGCGTATTTAAGTATTCGTTATCGCCAGTCAGTACATCTTTGACTCGAATTAGTTTCCAAACCAACCTCTTCCGCATTTGCCCCTCCTCACTATATATGTATAAGCTTTTCACTTTCATTGCAAATGCGTGAAATGAGCTTTAGCCGGGCCAAGAGTTTTAACGCCAGCGTGTGAATTTGATGGGTTCATACTCTCAAGGTGGCGATTTTTAAATTAGATTAGAGATTAGAGAGTCTCTGGGCATAGTTAGATGTTTCTCTTAGGTTGGTTGATTGATTTCCGTCGATTCTCTGGCTGTTTTTTATATATTTTCTTCGTGTGAGTGTGCTTAATTTGAATGCGAGGGTTTGGTCGCGTGAAAGTGAAACCAAATCTCGACCTGTTTTCAATGAAATTTTTTGTTTAGAAATTTTTTGGGCAAGAGTTTAAGCTTGAGAGGTTATTTAAAAAAAGCTTTAGGTTCTTGCATTAATAAAGGAAATTTATTGCTGACAATAAAGGTAATTAATACATGAAATAAATCTAAAATATAATTAATAAGCTAATTACATTTTACATTAATTTATCTTGGAAAACATTTTCCAAAAGCATTATAAAGTTAAAGCATGGCTATTGGTTTTAAGATCTTAAATGCTTTAAAATAATCTTAGCCTTAAACTCATTTCAATAATTAATAGCTCTTGTTCCGCTTGTCCCTAAAATTATATTTCACAATCACATCCTCACATCTCTTTCCGTTAACCTCTTTGTGAGAAAGCCATCAGTTTGAGCATAAATACATACATATGTGAAAAACAAGAGACACAAAAAAGTGGCAGATATGCTAAAAGATACATCTGATACATCGTAAATCGTTGTCTTTTGTGACTGTATCTTTATTTCTGCAAAACACTTTCACTCGTAGCTGACCCACAGACTGACCAGCGACTGAAGCTCACCAGAACGCTTAATTCTCTGGCGGCTGAATATTATTATTATTTATTTTTAATATGCAATCGCTTATGGTTTAATTGGTTAAGAGGAGAGGACAAGGGGCTATGGTGCCCAATATCGAAACCAAAATTGGATGTGGGCATGCCTAAGCGGATTGGGTTGACTTTCATTCAACCTGTCCTACACCTGCAATGGTCTCTTTGACCGCTTGCTGCTGCTGGTGGCTTTGCCAGTGCCTGTGCCTTCGCCTTTGCCTTTGGCTTTGGTATTTTTCGGGCCGTACTTGCTGACCCAATTCCAGAAAGACGCATGCGTTTTGGTGTTGTCCTAAACTGGTTTCGGGTTCGGTTTTCGGTTTCGGTGGTTTCTGCTGCCGCCGCGCCAAGACTGTTAACTGTTAATGATTTCAGCGTTGTTTTCCTTAACAACAAATTTTCGGATTTCGATTTGAAAGCCCAAAAAGAAGCGCCGCCGCCGCTGCCGTCCAGCGATGTTGGTTCGAGTTTAGTTTTGACCAAGTTGCGCAACCCAATGGCCGGCCCAAACCCAAAGCCATATTTGGGCTGTCAGGCCCACATTTCATCAATGTCGCTCATGTTGGTCCATTGGTCCACTTGCCTGCCTTTTGGGTGTTTTACATTTCCAATGTTTTATCAGTGATTATCATAAATTTGCCTATCTGCGATGCGGGGGGAATTCATTTCCCACACTGATTGGACCGCTTGTTTTTGTCTCTCCATCTCCATGGACTTGCATTCTGAGAGCTCCCATCATCATTGGTTTGTCCAAGGGTTTCACCAAATTAACATGGGAATTTGCTTTACAATTCCGTATTTCGAAATCCAAAGTCTAGATATCAATATCAACAAATTAGACGGCGAGTGCACGCGCATTGCACTTTGCATTTTGCATATTGAAATTTTGTTGTTTTTTTCCTGTCTGTGCTGCCGCGCGTTTTATGTAATTTTTTGGACTATTGGAGACCTGGTTGATTTACAGCCAAAGCTCCCCGAAAGCAGTCAATGCAGGATAAACTTGAATTTTCAGGTTTTCCACTAATAACTGGTTTCCATTTGGTCTGCAAAAACATTTCTCAGTTTTGGTTTTCCTTTTTGTACCTTAATTTTTCGGCTATATTTTATTTTGTCTTGCCTCTGGACAGATTGTTATAATTACCTATTGCTGTGAATGCTGTGACACCAACAAATATTTTGGTTTTTCGGCTATTAAATTATTTTCATAGTTTTTGCGGCAGCTTGCAAGTTGAAGCGTTTAAAAACGCATTCGCTCTAGTTGGTTTTGCTGCCTGAGTTTTAAGTCGCCTACATAGACCAATATCACGCAGCCGCCGCGTTGGTCAAGCACGCACTCATTTCAATTGTAAATCGCACTCGGGTTGCACAATATCCAAAGTGACGGTGGAATGCCATGTGATTCAATGGCTGATGTACGATTCCGGAAAGTAGTTAGTGAAACTGGATCGAAAATCAAGTTTATAGCAATTAATAAATGAAAAATCACATCGAGTGAATCCATTTTTGGGATGGCAACTCATTATAGTTTGTGTTTGAAATAATAGGGGTATTCCCCAGATCACTAAGAGATTTATATAAAGGCAAATGAGCTCTGAAACCTAATTGTTCCTTAACTATCTATATATCTATTTAAACTCCACTGGAATTCGCGGTTCTTTAAGCATCCCTTTCCGGAACTGTATCTTTTTCCGTTTGCTATGTGGAAACTCATCTTTAATTCGTTGATTTGCGAACCTCAATTGGTCAATCGATTGCAGTTGTCATAGTCTCGGATGGGGCTTAATTTCGACGCAATGAAACCGTGACGCATTGAGCATTCGCAATGGAGACATTAGCAAATAAAGTGGATACATTATGTTTGGATTTTCCAGCTAATTTATGTGTACTGTGTCTACTGTGTAGTGTCGCCCCCCCAGAAGCGTTCTCAGTGGCACAAGGCACAGATATGCTTTGTCAAATACAAATTGCCCAGTTTTCAGGCAAACACATACACACTCTCGGCACTTGGCATTCACACTCACTTGAAACTGCTGAGATGTTAACACGCATGTAAACCACTTGCTGCCAGCAGGCACTGCGGCTAATGAAGAAGCTACGAAAATCGAACGGCAAAAGCATATATAAATATATATGTATGTATATATAAAATATGCAGCCAATAGAGGGGGTAGTAGGGGGGGCCTACGTTCGGTTACTTGGTTATGTCAGCCAGCAGCAGGCAATGGCCAAAACAACCGCAGCGATGACAAAAAGGGAAAGTATAAGTCCAAAGCCTCGTCTTCGGACGCCGATTCGTTTGTGGCCCTCAAAGAGCCAAAAGAGAGGCGGTTGTTGCTACTTTCTTGACTGTTTCTCTGTCTCCGGTTTTGGCCAATGTTGGAGCCGCCGCTTCCGCTACCAAGGCCCGTCATGTTCGATCAAGGCAACAACAGAGGCATTTCTTTTTCGGCCAAGCAAAAGAAGCAATTAAAATTTTTTAGCTTTAAGAAATTTTAGAGAGGGTTAAAGAGCGATGATTCAGCTCAACAAAAAACTCTGATATTTTATCCTTTCTGTACAGTAATCTGTATATAATTACTATAAACAATTTAAAGGTTCAGCCTTGCGCAAAGAATGTTCTGTTTTGCCATGCAGCCTAAGCATTAATTTGTTAACTTGATTGCTTTAATTGAATAATTTTTAGCATGTTTAGCTTGTAAATCACAGGTGTTAACAGTTTTCGTACTTATGCCCGACCTCCATAAAAATAGCAACATGCAAAGGCAATTGTCTGTTGTTCACATATCGCTTATGATATACCCACCATATGCCGCATACAAATTGCCTTAAAAAGCGAGCGAAACAAGAGCAGAAATCATAACAATGCGGCTGCGAATCGACACAATATATAGTATAGTAAGTGAGTCGTAAGGCAATCCATAACACAAATGCTAAAATGTTGCAATTCGCTGATTGTTAAGGCTTTCAATCAAAAGTGGCATCAATCAGTGCGAGGCACTCGAAATGCTGGCTAAATACTTTCATCGTTTCATGTCTTCATCTTGAGCTGAGGCCGCCGCGCCATCAATGGACACCGGAGTGGGTTGGGATGGGTTTTTGCAGCTGAAGAGGATTATGTCGTGGGAGCGCCCTGTGGCGAACAAATGCCAGCTCTATTTGATTTGATTTTTATGTTGTGTTTCGTTTTGTTTTTACTTTGCACTTGTCTCTATTCAATTTGCACACACGCCGTTAAATGCTGCAATTGCCTTGTGATCACTGCGCTCGCCGCCTATTTTGTGCAATTTTGTTCACAATTAAATTAATGAGTGCAAGAAATGCGAGTATTTAAATGAAAATTGGCAGAGGTGCCGCTAACCAAATAAAAGATAATTATTTCCAAAGCATTGTTGTTGCCGCCCCGAAGATCATTATTATTATTATTTCTTCTTTTTGAATCGATGTGAAAGTTGGCCTGCCAATTGTTGCGGCTCCTCTTTTGTGTGTGTGTGGAGGTTGCCAAAGGAGGTTTAACTGGATATCTTTGGTTGGTTTTTTAAGTCAGGCCAAGTGCGGTTTAAGCTTATTGGAGGCAATCTTAAGACCTGTGGAAAAGAGTGGGTTTTAAATAAAAAATATTGACTAAAAATAATGAAAGCATAAATTATATTGGTTATTATTTCCTGCCTTCATCTAACCAAATATTTTACATACTCATTAAATAAGATTACTCCTCTTTGTATTAGCATATATTTTCACTATGAACACCCACGACTTTTCTAGACTATTTTCCTTATTTCTTTCTCCGGTTATAAAAGCAACCGCATTGTAAAAAAAAGTGATTGAAAGTCCTCCTCGGTTCATCTTCGGCAGCCAAGTGCAACGGCTAAGAGTGTACTTCCTATGTATTTACGTTTTAATGCCTCTGTTTTTTGGCTTTGTGCACGCAACAAGCCCATAATCCTCTACGTTAATTCGCAAAATATATTCGGCCAAGATGCGATGCTTGGCCAGAATGCAGGCAAGAGGCAGGCAAGAGCATTGACCTGGCTGTAAAGTGAGCGCATTAGCAGGTTCATGGGGCTTAGAGACACTTAAAATCCGTTCGGCTGTCGTGGGCACCTGCTGACGTTAGCTTGACTTGACTTGTGACTTGCGGTCGTAAAAACCATTTAACAGTGCTTAAGAGTCTGACGGCGTATGTGGGCAACTCGAAATAGCCACAATTAAATGCATTTCTGCACGTTCCACAAATTTCTGTTTCTTTCATTCGCTTTTTGGCTTTTGCAAATATTATCATATCAACAGTAACGGTGGCCAGCTGATGGCACTAATTTTAATTTGGCGCACATATTGAAAATGAAAGTTTCCACGACTCGAATTTAATTGGATTTCTTCCGGCTGCTGCTGCTACTGCTGCTGATGGCGTTTTGCTGTTGTAATTGTGATGCCTCGGATTTTGTAATAAGCCATGGCTCGCTTTCTACTCGCCAAAAGCCAAAGGCCCCCTTACCTTGCCGATGCTTATGACACATATTAAATATGAAACTGGGTCATTACAAGCTCTTTTCAATGGGAACTCTGGCTCTGGCCAACAATTTGTTTGGTTATTTTACGATGCTCAACCAGTTTTGGACACCCAAAAGGTCCACACGTGTGGGCCAAATTAAAGACGATGATATTGACGATCTTCGAAGATGATGTTTATGATGATGATGCTGCTCGCTGCAGAAGCTCCGTTACCAAGGGCGTTGTTACGGCCATTGACTGTAGTGACTCTCCCAGGATCCCGGGAGCAAGTGGGTCAACATCCACAATCCCCACCCCAAAGAGTGTGTGTGTAATCGCAGTCATAGCCAAATATTTGAAATCGTTAAAAATGCCTTCGCCGCCGCCGTTGCTGCTGACAGCTGGCAACATCGAATTTACATGTTATCGTATCGTGTGCGGCTCCTATTGACAGTCTGAGTGGCTGACTGGTTGACTAGCTGACGGCTTGACTGGCTGACAGGCTGCACAAGAAGCAAACAAATGCGATTGCATAATTGCACATAAAAGTGCCTCCGAAAAATAAAATAAATACAAGTCCGGATCGAACGGAAAGGCGAGGCACATTTCCTGCAGAGAAAGAAATATTGCAAAATTTTGGGATATTTATATATATTTTGACTCAAATTTGATTTAGAGAATTTTATCGAAATATATAGCATTTAATGTTGAAATATCGAATTATCGAGCAAAAAGTCATTATGTCATCATATCAATAACAATTTCGCCTTTGTAGCTTTTTATATCGAAATTTGATTTCTCCATTTTGAATTATATTTTTAGTATAGCACTCTTTTATTAGCTAAAATTTTTAATTAAAACTAATTTTATTAACTTAAATTTTAAATTCAATTAGGACCATATTTTTCTGCAAGTGCAGCAACATATTGCCTGGTAATTTAGCAGCGCGTGTTGCTCTCTTTTGTGTCGCATTGTCTTGTGGCCATAACAAAAGGATTTGCGGCTACGACAATTCAAATTCGCCGACAAGGTCAAGAGTCGCGCGAGGGCGTCGACAATCGACTTCAATTAGTTGGCCATTTACTGTGGTTACAGGCCCCGGCCACTGCAATTTTCCAGTTATTAATTTTCGGCAACTGGCAGGCAGAAAATCCAACGGTGTGCAAGGCAAAACTCGTTAGGCGCGGCAGCGCCACAATTGAAAGTTGTTAAGTGACTTGTTTGCCCCTCCATTATTCACACTTTGTTATTAATTGCAGCATTTACCAGAAATCGCTAACCGCCGTTCTACCTGTTCTCTTTTTTTCTGTTTTCCAGCAAAGTCCGCACAGCTGCAGCCACAGCCTCAAGTACTCCCAATGCTCCAAGACGAATCTCCGCCAGCACAGCTCGGTGCACACACAGCAGCCGGCGGGTCCTGTGCGAGAGTTCCAGATCGATCCATACATCATCCTGGATGATGACCTCAAGTACTTTTACGACGACGTGAGATATGTAAGTGGGGGTGATTGAGGGATTGCAGGGAAATATCTATCAGGAGCCCTAGCTCAGGGAAATTGAATGGAAGGGCAAATGTCTATCATAAATTAGACGTTCAGGAAACCAATAACTAAGGATATTGGCAGCCATCTTAGCAAATCATGGGTTATACGTGCTTACCATTTTATTCATTTCTGTTATAAAAATGATAAGCTTTTCTAATAATAATTATTATAATTATTTGTGTTTTTGTTCATGAAATATATGTTCAAATTCATTTTAAAAATAGTTTATGCCTTTAAATAAAAGTTATTTAATTTTTAAAAATAAATTAGAAGTTAGAAGGTTATTGTAATGTCTGGAACTAATTCTAAAATTCTCATTTAAAAGCGTGTTATTATTTTCGTTTTAAAACTAATTAATGTCAGACAGCTGTTAGCTTTCTTATATGCCTACATATATCTTATATAGTTTTAAAACAGCAGTAAAAAACGAAGTAACGATCAATAATAAAACCTAATTTTACACATAATAAATACTAAATTGATAATAAAAAAAATTATTTCAAAACCACAAAGATAAATAACGCGTATAAAGATTTTTTTTTGTGAGAAATTCCATTGAGATGTTTTTGGGGACGTCATTGATGGTTTTTTCCTTAAACCCAGCTAGGGGGATTTTCGTAGCTTGCGACCAAAACACAAATATTTGCTAATTTAGGCCAAAGTCTAGAGTTTAGAAGGTGTGAGTAATTTCTCTTTATTTATTTTGTTTCATTATTTTCCAGCTGCTAAAGTCGGGGACATCGCAGCCGGAGTTGGACACTATTGCCAGCTATTACTTTGATGGCCAGGGAAAGGCGCTGCGACCCATGGTCACCATGCTGATGGCCAAGGCGATAAACTATCACCTGAACAACGAGTCACAGTGAGTTTTTGTTCAAAGAAAATATTACTTGAAAATATCTGAATCGCAGGGAAATAGAAATTATAAACTCTAAAAAATTATGGATTTTCACTAGATTTCTAGTTCAAAAATATTTAAAATTTCTTCCTTAAATTTCATTATTATCCATTCAAATTATTCTTTAACTTGTGATAAATTTTTAAAAATAATTTAAAATATTTTTCTATGATAATTCTGTATTTGCCCTGTTGTCTAGTGTAAATGATTAGCATGGCTTTGCGAAATGTACGCTTTTCAGCCATTTCAGATTAATGCACGGTAGCTTTTTGTAGCTTTTTGCCCCACCAAGACCACAAAATCACTAAAAATCATATTTTGCCTATCGCCTTGACAGCCAATTAGTACACAAACAACGACAGATCGCCCTCTTCTCGGAGATGGTTCACTCGGCCAGCTTAGTGCACGACGATGTCATCGATCAGTCGGACTTCCGACGCGGCAAGCCCAGCGTGAATGCTCTATGGAATCATAAAAAGGTAGGTCCCAGTCCGAATCCAAAGGAGATCCGTGATAATATTAGGCATCGGTGCCACCGATGTTTGCTGAAGCCAAACAAACCAAGCCAAACACGCGCCCAGTTAGAGCCACTCGGCAACCAAAACAGCAATCAAGATGGCACTAATCATCATCCGCAGCAGCAGCAGCATCATCAGCTCCCAGGCCTCTGACTTTGACATCAATTTGTTGCGTATTTCGATTCAAAGTGTTTATTGACTTTGTCAACAGCTATCTTGCATCACTCAAAAGGCCTCAAATTGGATGTCGATGCTGATGCCTCTTCATTAAACTTAATAATAGACCAGACGAAAAGACCCACATATCGCGATCTCAATGCAGTTTCCCTTTCGACATGTCTTCAAATTGAAATGCATAAATTAATCCAGCTTTCGTTTATCATCATCTTTACAAGTCAAAGAAGCGTCAAAAGAGCCCGAAGCTCAAAGCCCGTTAATTTTAATGTCTTCTCTTTGATTGTCTTGGAGCTGGTCTTAGTCATGTCAGTTAATTTTCGGTTGTTTTGTCTTTGCCAACGGCTGTTAACTGTTGCAACATATAACCGTACTTCTCCGTAGTCACTATATTTTCTGACCAGGTCTTAACATCCTCTTTGCAGGTCACAATGGCTGGCGATTATATCTTATCGATTGCCTCGATTATGATTGCACGTCTGCGCAGCGACGATGTGACGATTGTACTGAGTCAGGTAAGCATATATAATTTTTTAAAAGAATATGACTAACAACTGGCCTGAATTCTGGTGAGATATGTGTAGGATTTATTGACTACAGCTAAAGGTGAATAATTTTTAAAAGAATTTAAAGAACAGAGCTGAATGAATGCTTTTAAGAGAGGTTTACATGATAATGTATATCAATTTAAAGCTTAAAATATATTGAATATGCCACTGCTTATATTCTAAAAAATGAAATTCCTTTCTGGACTAGTCTTTACCTTAAAAACACATTCTTCCCATCGCTTCCATTGCTGATCAAACTAAATATTAAAATCTTTAAAACCCAACCTAAAAAACTTTACAGTTTTTTGCACCTGTAACCAAAAACCAAACATTTCGTTGTTACCAAGTCCCTCTTCGCACATTTTATGCTGGCAGTTAATTGCCAAGGCAAACACAAATAACGCCCAACTGTTTGCCAAACTCATTCTGAAAAAGGGGTAGGCTGCTGCTTCCTCCAAGAATTAGCCACTAAAAAGTCCCGGATTCAAATGAATTATCTCCGTCTCTCTGTAAATAGGCTTATACGATATATTTTTATGAATGTACGTAATCAGATCGGGTGCCAAATTTCACACAATTGTTGGGCAAACAGAAGGGAACCTTTGTCTTTCCTGAAATTATGAAAGTTGCTCATTCTGTTTGGGGAACTGAACTTCCCCCCTGCCATCAGCATTGCCAAAACCAGTCGTAATTTAACTTCCTGCGTCCCTGGGAATCGTCCAAGGTTTGCCCTTCGCCAGAGTTCGTAAAACTTTGCAACGGCGGCGGCATTCACTTTTAATGTTTCGATGTTCCGATGTTTTTTTTATTGCATTTCTGCATCTGCGTCCTTGCAGTTGCAGTTACAGTGGCAGTGCAGCCAATTTGTTTTTGTTCCGGTCAGATATGTCTTGTTAAAGCGGTAAAAATCAAGGAATCAAGGAAATGAATATCTTTAACTGCCTTAAAATAATTTTATTTTATGATAAAATGATTAACTTATTACCTATAGGTTAATGCATGGAAGCATTGCATACTTTCTAGCACTAAAAATAGTAATATTTGTTCGATTGAGTTAAAATTTTGTGGTAAAATATAAAAAAGAAATAAAAAGAAAAATATATTATAATAAATATTATGGCTCTACAAAAATTTAAGACTCTAGCTTTTATAGTTCACAAGTTTCTGACTTATTTTAAACCTTTTCAAATGTCCTTTTTATATCCTCATTTTTTATTGCCATCACTACTCTTTTCGTGCTTTGGAATTCCGTAGAAATATTTCATCGCTTAGTGCGATGCATCACGTAGTTTCTATAAATTTAAAATTAGTCACACCTGCCAATTTCACTTTCGGTGGCGGGGCACGAGAGTGAAACTAGGTCTGTTGTTGCCTTGGAAACGAAGGTGGCTCGGGGATCTCTCTTTGGGACCACAGCAGCCACAGCTTCTCTGCATATTTACACAATCGAGCGCGGCAAAGTTAATAGCCAAAGCAAACACAATAAACTTGCCTACGTTTTTGGGTTACACATTCTCCGTCTCGCTGCGATGATGGGTTTTCTCAATTCGCGAAACATGCGTAACACCTGAGGATTGGCTTCAAGATAAATCCAAAATCCAAGGTGCGGCTGCCAGACACTTATCTACTTTTATTTGTCCATTTCATTTGCCCATGATTATCGGAACTCGTGTATCTAACGCATAATTTTGGCTTATTAGCATTCAAAAACATTTTGACCCCATCAAAATGAAACTTTCTTTAGGGCCATTAGGTCATGAGATATTAGGAAACTAGTTCTGGGTATCTAACTATTTATTTAAAATCTCCCCCAGACCTAAGACTTGGTTTTGCATAATCGTGTCTTTGATTTCGTTGCCCAAAAAACACATGTAGAAATGTAACATGATAACAAGAGGCATTTATCTTAGCTTTTGGGTTAGCTTTTTTCAGAGGAACTACGAAAAGGTAATACATATTTCAATAACTTATTTTATTAAACCAATATTAAACAAGAAACTAGAATTTATGGAGTGATATCTTTGTATTTTTCAGACCTCTTTTAGCCTGTTTCTCTTCATCTAACACAATCTCCAAGCTTTAGAAAATATTTATCAGATTTTGTTGAGTGTTTAATATGCCGTGCACGTGCCTGAATAATTTCAACGGCTTCTAAGACATTGCTAGGCATTAATAAAATGTGTAGAATGCCCGTCTGCCTTTCAATCAAGTATATTTATGACTATCTGTGGGTTTTGGGTTAAACCAGACCGTTAAGACCGAGACGGAATGAGGTAATTGATAAAAGATAAGTGTAATCAAAGAAAACTAGAGTTTTATAAGAAAAAAAATATAAAAAAGAGGAATAGTTAGCCTGCAGTTAAATAAAAGCTAAAATATATATTTTTTGCTGGCTAAATTCCCCTTGTCGGAAGTTGACTGCTGAAAAAGAAAATTCCCCATGTACGTGTCTTACAAACTCGCTTCGAGGCTAACCATTTTTTGTTTCACAAAGTGCACTTGCATTTTGCGGTCGAGAAAAAATAAAAAAAAATGTTAGCCTGCAGCATTTGGTATCATTTTGGCTTCATTTCGCTGCTTAAAAGGCGTCTCTGTGTTAATTTGTTTGGCTCTAAATGCATTTTGCTGGCCGTTGTTGGAGCTCACGCACTTGTCTTTGACTGTGTTTTTATTATTATTTTTTTTTTTTACGGCTACTTGCTAGTTGTGTTAATTAACATTGAAAGCTGGAATTTGGCCGGGCTTTTTGGCCAGAAACTATTGGCCGAATCACCTTGAGCTCCTTGGGATCGGATCGAAACGAAACAGCTCCCACACACAGGGGTTGTATTTGCCAAAGATTTTGACAACTATCTGTGAGTTTTTTGGCCGCCGTAATCAATGAAAATGCCTATCGAAAGCGAGTTGGCGAAGGGCGTGCCAAACAAACAAACGGGGCAATAGCCAAAATAGTCAGGTAGCATCGGTTACCCACCCGACCTCTTATTGAGCTCTGAATGAAATCTTGTTTGCCAGATTTATTTGGCACAATTTTGTGTTTGCCATTTGCATTTGAGGCTTCACCCATGCGGAAGTTCCACACTCCCTTGGGGCGTAGTAAAACGCTTTACGGATTTTGAAGAAGGATAAGCCTGGCAAATAAAGTTTTATTCGCAGTTTGAAAGTACAGTAGTTATGGCCTATACAATAAATCGATTTTAAGCTAAAATTATGGCTCTTTAAAAGGGAATTTTATATATTATTTATACTTACAAAAAGAATTGCGTAATTCATTCAACTTGGAGTGGGAAAAACCCAACGTCTGCGATTGCAGAACAATCACAGTAGGGGAAGTCATTGCCATTGACATAAACATTACTAATCGCTGACATATTTATGACGCATTGTGTCTGCCATTGCCAATCTTATATTCGTATATCTTCTGTCTTTTGCAGATCTTAACCGATTTGGTTCAAGGCGAGTTCATGCAGCTCGGCTCAAGGGAAACGGAGAACGAGCGCTTCGCACATTACCTGACCAAGACATACAGGAAGACCGCATCGCTGATTGCCAACGCACTGAAGGCGGTGAGTACTCGTTATCGGCATGCAATTTCAAGCTGGAATCTTGAATATAGCATTTCGCATTTCGTATTTATCGGACTTGAGCTTAATTCGGCAATTAGTTTGCACGCATGTCGGTGTCATTGTGCCCATTGTTGCAACTGCAACTGACTTTGAACTATGGATGACCGAAAAGTACTTATAATATCAATCCTATTTGGATATTTATCGATTTATTAGTATACAATTAACGATAAAAATATATTCTTCTCTATTTATACAAAACTAGAGTCAGAAAGTAATCGATGTTATCGGATTTGATCGATTTTATTATATACTATAAATCGAGATTATCGATTATGTCGATCTTAATTATCTAAAAAAATTAAAAGACTTATATTTTGATCGATATATTATTGTATATCGAAATTCGCGATAATATTAATTTAACAAAAAGAAATACAAAATGAAATTTGTAGTAAACTACGATATTTTTAATAGGATCCTCTTACTTTATCGATATATTGTTTTGATTTGTGTTCTTGATTTAAAATTCCCCTTTTTAAATATTTCTTCTTACTCTGCAGACCGCCGTGATTGCCCAAGCAGATGACAACGTGGCCGAGGTGGCCTTCCAGTACGGACGTAACGTTGGCCTAGCCTTTCAGCTGGTCGACGACATGCTGGACTTTGTCTCCTCCAGCGAGCAGATGGGCAAGCCAACGGCGGCGGATCTGAAGCTGGGCCTGGCCACCGCCCCGGTGCTCTTTGCATGCGAAAAGGTGAGTTCTCAGACGACATTTCCTTATGGGAAATGCGAAGAGAATATGCTGTGTGTGGGGATGTAATGTGTATTTGCTCAGATCTCGGTACGCTTTGCATCTAAAGTGCCTTCGCGCCGCCAATGTGGATGATGTATTCATGGTGCCGGCGGCGAAGGTGATGATATCATAGGTGTTGTGGTTGGGTGGGTGGTTGGACGGACGCCCGGCCTGTCAGCTGCTCGAATGCGTTTGCAACTCAATTGCCAGCGGGGCGATTAACGCCTCCGGCACTGCTAATTTCCATTTGCTATGCAGCTCGCGATCTTGGTCAGCGCCGCGTGCAGTGCGTTGGCAAACAATATCCAACCACCGGACCCACCCCAACTTGCAATGGCTGCATAATTGAAATACCTGAAATTTCCCATCTCTTGCAGTACCCCGAGCTGAATCCGATGGTGATGCGACGCTTCAGCGAGCCCGGGGACGTGGAGCGTGCCTTCGAGCTGGTGCACAAGTCACACGGCCTGGAGCAGACCCGTTTCCTGGCCAAGAAGCACTGCAACGAGGCGATACGGCTGGCCCAGGAGCTGACGGAGTCGCCGTACCAGAAGGGCCTGCAGGTCGTCGCCGACTTAGTCATCAATCGCATGAAGTAACACTTAACGTAATCATATTAATCGTATGCAATAATAATAATGTTATGTAGGCCACACAGTCGATGTTTCGGTTAAGTTTTGTCAGCCAGCGAGCTAGCAAGGATAACGTAAAATTGTAAACAAAAGAATTATTATTTAGTTTTTAGGCATTTGTTGTTGACACTGTAAATAATTGCATAAACAAATCAAAAAACAAACAAACAAAAAAAGAAACAACATAATTAACGGCAACCTTCGCTGTACATAAATAAATATATACGAGATGTTTAATGAACTTTAACAAATTTTATATGCAATGTTTTTCGAACGATTTATTTATATATGTTATGTATAGAGAAATATATATTCGAGAAGCCAACAATAAGTAAAGAAAGAAGAAATTAAATCTGTACAAATAACTCTTCAGAATGATTCAAGCCTAAAGGATAATGTTGCCAGCTTAGGCAACTCAAACGTAAATAAAGGAAATTGAGGAAAATGCGAAAAAGTACTAACTACGAAAGGAAATTGTTTATTAGTCAATGCAACAAAGAAACCCATGTGTAAACGATATTTATGATAACAAAGCATAAAGCAAACAATTTATTTAATATTAAATATTTGTTTAGGACATTTCATGCCTAAATGGTTCAATGTTCAATGCCTGCACTCTTCTTCAAAATCCCTTCCGGCAGCACAAAAATGTAACCTAACAAACTTATAAATAAAATTAATAAATAAATTATATTTTGAACCATTCGCGCATGAAATGCATATATAATACATATGTTCTATAAGAAAATGAAAGCGGATGCTGCCCCAGTCTTAATTTTAAAACATTTTTTCTTCTCCGCAATAGTAATTTATAAGACATTCACACAAAATCGATCAAGACAAGCCCTTTTTGGAATGCCTTAAAAACAGAAAACTAAACTCTATATAATTTAAGTTCTTATTTTAATTTATAAAAAACAACCTCAATTAAGTCAGTCAGCAAAAAAAGGCGTTTTTTTTTTTTGTTAGTGTATATAGTTTTGAAAAAATCAAGCAAGACTATTTGGGGCTCCTTTACAGCCTGCTCTACACTGAGAAAATTAAAGAAGAGCGAGAGCTCATTCTGGCTAAACATCGGTTCAAATGGGTGCTGCGACAAAATGATGATAATGATGTTGATATTGATACATGTAATTACGATATTTGTACACTTAAAGAGATGAATAAAAATTCGATTTTGTAAAACAAATAAAAGGGTTTTTTTGAATTTTAACTGAGTGGTGAGATATGCTTCATTAAATTCCTCTCTTCCTGGAAACAACAAAGGCTTAAAGCTTAAATTTCTGATTGCTGTGCCCACAAAGATACCCAGAGCCATCAAACAGACATTACCCACATGCCGGTTATGGGAGGCATGGGGCAACAATGTAGCTATGCAACATATTGGCCAAAAACAACAGCTACAACAACATGGAGGACCATGACGACCTAGTGAAATAGTTTTGGACATGGCCAAAGTGCTTTATGTTGCGACGGGCAGGGCTGATATCAGAATTGGGCCAAACAAATAAATTCAGTGTCTGTGGCGAGGGAAATACTAGCTCCTGCCACATGGGGCGTATGAGTAATGCCCAAGAGTATTTCAGCTTAAAAACCTTCAACAAGTCTCGGATTAAATTGCACGCAACAGCAGCAGATTTTTTAAGCCAAATATTGATGATTTAGCCCACTTTTCGCAGCACGAAATGGGGTTAAGCTAAGGCTAAGGGCAGCCATGGCACAATTTTCTGCGCAATATAAAATAAATATATATATGTATATTTTATGTCCAGGCCTGGTTAGGCAAACAAGCCAAGAAGGCAAACAAAAGGTAAGCGTGCCTAACTGGCAAAATATTTAAATGGCCAACGAAATTAGCAGCGGTTACGCAGACAAGGAACTGCAGCAGCAACAGCAGCAGCAGCAGTCCTGTCTGGCTTCAAGGACAGACAATGAGAGAGACCGCCGCACTGTTCACGTGCGGCCTAGCCCAAGTGTGCCTTAACCTAGGCTATAAATAGCTTAGGCAGGCGCTGCCTAGACAACCAAAGTGGTTCATCCGTGGCCCACCAGTGCCTGGCACGGATCAGTGCAGCCAAATCGGCGGTTAAACGGTCTGGTCGCGGCACGAGACCGAGTCAGTAACGCGGCGTCTGCTGAACGCAGCGCTACTTCCGTTCTCCCAGACTCTCTTGTTCTCCTAGGAAACCCGTCTGCCCCGAGGCAAACACATAGCAATGACGACCAGTGATGAGATGGGAATGGGTGGCAATTTCTGCCACGACCACATCCAACATCCTCTGATGTGGTGCGATGAGAAGAAGCGTCTTGTGGAGCGCAAGAATGCCGAGGAGAGTCTTCGGATGTGGCGGCGCAGGAAGGCGGAGGAGTGTGCCCGCAAGGAGAAGGATAAGCAAGAGGTAGGTAACAGGGCGTATGTGTAATGCAGTGAATCAGGTGGCTAACAGGGCGTATAAGCAATATTTACGGTAGTTGAAACAGAGCGTATGTTTGTGCTATATTTTAGAATTATGAAGTTGATAAAAGTGTACACCTAAAATCATTTTGAAGTGGATATACAAATGGTTAGGGTTCAACTGAAAGATCACTTATAAGCTGGCAAAGAATAGATCTATAGGGATAACCCTTGTAGACCATTACTTACTCTTCTCAACTGAAAAATTGTTGACAGTCTTAGTAAATTAAAGCAAATTATATAAAACATTTCCTCAGTAACTACAATATACCTCCAACCCAAGCCTTTTATTTAAACATAACCCCTTAAATTGCCAATCAAAAAACCCAAAATCAATTCCCAATAATCTAATCCAAGGCATTCCTACCAAATAAACAAAAAACTTTTGTCAAAGCCATAAAAGACCAACCGAAAACCACACGAATAACATTTAAGATAGAACCTATGACAATCAAAACCCATCTCGAACCTTCACCCACGCGATAACTGGAAACTTCTGCTAAGTTCAAAGACCCTACCCCAAGCAACATGTAATACATCAGCTCTCGAGGATTTTGGTTCAACAAACCCTTTGACAATTTGGAATTTGGTAATCACATCACCTCTGCACGGGCAAAGGCCCAACTAGAAGCAAGTTGTGGGACTCCCACGAGTCCTTGCGTGACTAAAATCCTTCCCGATTATTCGGCTATATCACCACAGCCTGCAGCGACCGAAAAGTGGGTGAGCAGAAAAAAAAAAAAATAGACTGAAATGCAAATCGCGTTGCAACTATAACAACAACCTACAAACAAAGTTCCTAGGCCAAGGGAGAGGCGCACATCGGACTCAAGGGAATTTGCCAATTTCCGTAAACAAACAACGCCACACTTCGCGATTGACACGACGCGATGGGTTGAGGCGGTCCTACTGGGTGGCACAATGTGTCTGGGACCCATAAATAGGCTGCCATGAAATCGATAAGACATAACTCGGTTTTGTAATCATCCTGCGGCAGTGTCTGACTGGCAGAGCACATACCCAAAATCAGATAAATCGGGGAATTTATTGCATTTAAATTTTTTTGGGCTAAGGCAAATATTTATGAATATTTTGTGTATGTGACCCAGAAGGGTATAAGGATTTTAAGGTTAGTAATTTCTTGTTTTTGAAAGCTCAATGGATTTTTAATTAAAAATATAATTAATACATGATTGGATTCTTTAAATGAGGAAATTTCTTACTTTCCGGCCTAGAAATTATTTTTGGTAGCTTAAAATCACTTAAAATACAGCGAAATAGAGCTTTAACTTAGAGCCCTTATATGGATTTTTTAAATATTAAAAAAATAATTATTGAGTTAAATATTAGAAAACTCCCTCTTTTTTTTATAAAAATGTAGCCTAGAAAATGTTAACACATATTATATATTATTATTAATTTAAGATAAAATCCCATAAAATATATTTTCTTCCTTCAGTACTACGACCTGTTCCATCAGCACTGTCCCTGGGGTCGTCCTGGCGGTGGAGCGCCCAACGTAGAGGTGAGGCGCAAGGACATCACAGCCGTTGGCCTACACTCCACGCCCACAGTGGTAGGTGTCCTTCTAAAAATTAATATTTTAATAGATATTAGTAGATTTTCCTTACAATTTTCTATGCATCCCTCAGACCACCGCCCACCGGATGAACTCCCTGCAGCCGTGTCGCTACAACGACTTCTTCTCGATGCAAAAGAAGTGCCACAACAACCCGCTGGCGGCCTATCATCACCACCACCATCATGCCCCGCCTGCTCCGCCTGGCCAGCGACTGCCCCATGCCCACTCCGTGCATCATCTGCAGGAGAGCGGTCCGAGGAGCAGCACAGTGACCATTTGCGAGCGGGAGATACCCCACAAGCCCGGCGCCGGTGTGGGCGTGGGCCTGGCCAAGAATGCCAACGGTGAGAGTCTGCACATCCAGCTGAAAGAGCACCCCTCAATGTCCTTTCGCAATAAAGGCCATGTGGACATCGAGCTGCGCTACAAGCCCTCGCCGCCATGCAAGGGCAAGCCGCTGCTGGATAAGATCGTGGTCAGCGAGAGCGAGCAGCGGTGTCCGCTACAGGAGAAGCTGGCCACGCAGAAGAAGCGTCTGCAGGCGAAGCTGGAAAAGCCGGTGAGCGGCGGCTATTACGCCCCCTAGATCATGGCCTTACTAATTGTTTTATGGTTTATCCTTTACCTTCAGCCCTGCAAGGAGCCTTGGGGCAAGGCAGGTCCTGGCGGCAAGCCCTGGCGGAGTCCCAAGGACCAACAGGGCAACACTTTTATGAAGTCTTTGGTGGGTATTCAAATTATCTTTAATGCTAAAGTTAGCTAAAATGATTGATTTAGGGCTGGACTAACAAGGAGATGCTCAAGGAGTTGGACCAGGACAACCCAGTAACGCCGGCGGAGAAGAACACCTTCCGCAAGTCGAGGCCCGGCAAGCTGCCGAAGCCGCAGCGCTGCTGCGAGATGTGCACCTGTAACTGTCCCGCCATGAAAGGCGGCAGTCCGCCGAAGCCTTCGCCGCCTGGAAAAAAGTGTCCGGGACCGCCGCCGCCAGGTCCGCCCTGTCCGCCAGGACCTCCCAAGATTGTCCACCACCTGAAGCCGCAGGACTGTAAGCCCATTAGGCTGTGCCCGCGGATGGCTGCACGTGGACCATGTCCGGGCAGCACCAGTACCGCCACGCCAGATGCCAGCACAGCGGGACATGGAGCCGACGAAGGTGGCGGCGTAGAGCTGGTGCCGCTGCTCGCCCGGAGACGCGGCATGCATCGACCCATCAGCCTGTCCAGCACGGATGTCACCAAGAGGACGCCCTCGCACGATAGGTACGCATTGAAGCACAAGCCCCCGACCTGTCAGCAGACCAAGATCAAGTGCATCAACAGCATCATCAAGAACATCAGCCACCTGAAGCGGCTGCCCAAGAATCTGAACTGCAAGCTCCAGTGTTGCAGTTGCGATTGCCCCACGGCCTTGGCCACGGGCTGCTGCCTCAAGCGGCTCACCCTGCACATTCGCCAGGCTTAGACCACCATAGGTTCACCTGCCTTCCTCCCGATAACCGTTTCCTGAATTTTCCTGTTGCTCAATCCCCTTCTTCCTCTGCATTCATCGCATCCGTCCGTTTCTCATTTGCTTGCTCTGCGCTATATACTTACATTTTTGAGGAGAAAGGAAGTCAACTTTCGGCAAGCCGAAGTTTTTTTATACCCTTGCATTTTAGGTTAGTTAATTTTGAAAAACAATTTATAAATTCTACTCCTTTTATTGTCAGAAATATAATTTTTCCGATTTAAAAGAGAATATTATTAATTAGAAAAAGTTAGAAAAAGCTTAAGGATACAGCTCAAAATTAACTGATGATGTAGATAAAAAGGATATTATGCAACCACTAAAAGTTCTAAAGGTTATTGTATAACTTTAAAGGCATTTTACTAAATTATACAAATTAAACGTAAGAGTTAGCTAATTATACAAATTACGTGTAAAAATAACATGAATGGTTATACCCTAATATTATATTTCAAAGAAAGTTTCTTGAAAGTTTTAAGCTGTTTCAGAATATTCCCTTAAAACACCTTCAATTAATTTCTAAAAATTTAGAAAATGGTTAAACCTTAACCCACATTGCAAGGGTATAAAACCAAGAACAGCATCCGCTTTCCATGTCATTCCCTTAATGTCTCTTCTGTGTGTGTGCGCCTGTCATTCTGCATTGTTAATGGTTTCTCTACCTCCTACCAACCTCCCCACTTCTTCTCGGCTCATTCAGCAAGAAAATATCCATTGTAATCCAAGTGAAAGTATAGCAACCAAAAGAGCAAACCAAATCAAAACCAATACCAATCTCACCAAACCAAAAACCAAACAAACTGAAACAGCAAAAATCCAAAATCATAATACCAATCTTCTATGTATCCCCGTGCGAACTCGAAACAAAAAAACCAAAAACAAAACAAATCGAAACCGAAACCCGAAATGAAAAACCAAATGACATAAATGAAAACCAAAACAAAACTGCTAAACCAAAAACTATCAACATTGCTGCCCACCATCATCATCATCAACTTGAACAACTTCCACCATGTACAGGATCCAAACGGCCGCCGACATGCGCTATCTGCACGATTTGAATGTCCAAATATCGCAGAACCGCCGCTCCGTCTCCGTTTCGAAGCAGATAGACCGGGATCTGTGCAACCAGCACTTCGACACCTTCGAGACCTTCTGGGGACGGCCAGGACACGGAGCCCGCGGCGACAAAATAAACAAATTGAAGCTGGACAATCTGCTGTACGGCGCCAGTGAGTCGGCTTAGGCTTTAGGACATATGGATATGGTAACGGAAACGGAAATCCAAGGACACCACACCGCATAAGCCACGCTTCTCTTCCACTTCCGGCACTGGCTCGTAGTTTGTGTGCTGCAAATCATCATCACTACTGCCCAGAAATCAATCGATGCCAGGCCCAAACCTGTTTCCAAAAACTTGCCTCCTGCAAAATCGAAATAGTAAAACTTTGCTCCCTCTGTGTCTGTCTGTGTAGAAATTTTGCCAACTTGCCGCGTCTAGTAAGTTGACCAAAGTTTTGAATAAGTCAGCTGGGTTTCCAAAAAAAAAGGAGAGTTAGAATAAGGAAATAAAACGCTAGAAGAAAGGAAATTGGTTCCAGGTAAGGAGCAGACTTGGAAAATAACATTAGATTGTTAGCTATTGCCCATTTAGTTAGTTTTATAACAAAATCCAAAGCAGAGTACTTAAGATAGGTTTAAGTCAAAGTAAATCTTTATTACGTTCTCAACAAAAATATTTCGTTCAAGAAATTGTTAATGTTTGGGTTATAAACATTTATTAGACTCTTTAAAATATGTATAGATATAAATATAGCAATTACTTTGTAAATACAAGTCAATCAATTGTGCAATAAATATATTCATAAAATTATCTACATTTTATCTGGTACTTTTCTTACTTAACTAAAACAATTTTTAAAGGTAATTATATGTTACATTTACTGGATTTAATTTAATAAAATCTATAATGGCCCTTTTGAAGTTTAAATTTATCAAAAAGGCAGAATAATATTTAAATAAATTATATTTATAAATGTAAAAAAAAGTATTAAGGAAATGTTATTCCCAGAACCCAGAGACAAACAGAAATAAAATCTTTAACAACAAAATATATGTAAAAGTCTAAAAATCGTGTAAATCTACATGTACCTTACACACACCACGTAAAAACCCTGTAAAACCGCAGAAAAAATACATAACAATGGCTCTCAAACTGCTTAAGCATTGTCTAGTTACACCAAAACTGTGGCTCTGAAAAATCTCTGCCGAATGAAAATCTCTCACGAAAAGTGCTTTAAACTCAGCTGCCACCATCACACCGCCTAAGTAAAAGATTTTTGGCTAAAAAACCGAAAGAAAAAAATTTGACAGACACTGCGTATGTCGAGTCACGTTCTCGTCATTTATTATTTTAGTTTTATATTATCCCAGGAGATGTATACAGGCATATATATAACGCATGGAACGTACACAGCCGCAGGAGGAGTGAGTGGAGTAAGTATGAGCCTAGTTACGTGGCTGACAGCCGCCTGTCCCGAGAGTTTTTAGTTTAAAGTGCATTAAAAATGATTCGGAAAATGAACAGGAGACACCCCCAACAACTTGATCAAAGGGATAAAGCTTCATTTCACTAAATTATGTGGCTCTTCTTTTATATGGCTTACTTTTAATTGGCGAAAACATTGGTAATAACCCCATAAAGCACGTTTGCCGAGGCTAATTTGATTGCATTTCGCAATTAAACTTGCCCCCAAAAAATGGGAGCACAACCCCATTTCAAGGTTGGCCGACCTGCTCGCCGCCAACTGTACTCTTAATTAAGCGAAATTGTTTCTTCAACTTTTACAGCAAGGCGCCGCGAAATAAATAGATTATGTTTTAATTAAAAAATTACGGAAATACCCGACGTCATTTGCAGGTGGAATTAAAGGGAATTCTGGCTTGATGTTTGTGCTTTCCTGCGGCTCCTTGGCACCTTTTTGAGCATCCTTTGCTAATTATGCCAAAACATCCATAAACACACACGCGTAGCAGAAGTCGCCGCCCTTCGCCCCCCTTAAAGCTAATGATGACGACTTTCGACCTCAACGAGTTGGAAAATAGACGTGAATCCAAGTTTGCCGGCAAAAAGCGATGCCAGCAAAGCGAAAAATCAAGAAAATATTTGCTTGCAGCTGGAAAAAAACATGCGTTGGAGAGACTAAGCCCTGGGACCAGTCCATGTGGCCATCTTTCAGCCGAGGTTTGTATGTATATGTATATACGCGTTTAAGGCTCTTCACGCATCAAAAAAAAAAGCAAAAAAAAAGAGCAACGTATGAAGAATAAGCCTCAACCGCTTTGATGTCGAGACCGTGGCCCAAAAACGGTATTCAAACGGATTGCAGGCGAAAGATTTTCCGCAGGCTTTAAGAACTTTAAATGCTTTTCGACATATATTCTGGAATGTGGTGTTTTTTTGTAATTAACTTTTTGTTGATTACTTTTTTTGATAGCTTAAGTCGTTATTTATTTTATAAATCTTACAAGTTTGCGCCTAAAAATAATAAACACAAGAAAAGTAAACAGTTTAACAAAGATTTTTCTAGGCTTTCAAAAAATATTAAATAAATTTGTATTGCCTTTAAAAGATATTATTGTTTCATTTACTGATGTTTTTAATATCTTTAAGCCTTACATAAGTATTAAATTCCCTTATTCAAGTCTTTAACTTCTTATTCCCTAAACCAAAATTTCCTTTTATTTCAACGAGAAAACCCTAAACAATTTTACTCTGAAAATTGTCAAGTAATCACATGACAGGCTTATCTAATTGAGCAACTGATTATTTGCTAATCACCTGTCTTACTTTTGCAACGAGGGCTGATTATGGGGTTTAAGGTGAGCCAAGCTTGGTTAGTTTCGCAATGCTACAGACTGTGGTCAATGTTGGCCAATTAACTGGGCAAGCTCCTGGCAGAAATTCACTGCAGAGTTACAGAGAATAAGAAAAAGGGATTTATTTTTTGCAGGAGCCAAAAAGCAGAGTCCAAAACCAATGCATCATATTTTCCATTGTGTCTACTAGTTGGACGAGAGGAGGATGATGGCTGGCCGAGTGACAGCCGTGGACAGCGTGGCTCTGCTCTTTCGACTCTGTGTTTGCCTTTGCATCCGAATTTTGAGCAATTTCGTCTCCGAGAAACAAGAAGAATTCTTGAATCTCCGCAACGCTCTGCGTTCGTAGCCATCCTGATGTTGACTTGGTTGAGCCAACAATGTCGGTGGCCGGTGCAAATATTTGGCTAACATTTTTCGGCTATTTCGCAGGATAATGCCAAGGAATTAACTATGCAAGCAGCAATGAGTTGACCGAGTTTTGGAACTTTTGGGCAAATAAGACAAGGAGAAATTCAATTTAAATAAAAAACAATAAAAACTGAGTAAAAAAAAGAATACAATAAAAGAAACATGTAAAACATGCAAATTGAATTTTGTGGACTAATACATTTTATTTGTATTTAGTTTTATCGCTTACCCCGTGTTGCCTTCCGGCAACTGTTGGCTGGCTGTGTGTGTGTTGTATGTGCTTGAAACCGATAACGTTTGTCTTCCATTAGCAATACAAACAGCAATCTAATAAAAAACAAGGCACAACAGCTGTGTGTGTTGGGTGTGACTCCGTCTCGAGCTCCTTCCTCAGCCCAGGATCCGATCCTCTGCCTTGGCTTCGGTGAGCGGCATAATAAGCTTTTCAATAAACTGTAGCATACTTGCCGGGATTGGCATTTGTCACATGCAAAGCAGGCAGCAAACACAACCAGCTAACCCAGCCAAGGATTTATGCAAACGAACACACGGCCAGGACAACAAAAATGATAAATTCAAATCGAAAATCGAATGTTATCCTCGCTTCAAGTTGTTACCCATCACAGGCTCATGGAATATGCTGATTTGTAGCCATGTTTGCATTTTCACGTAATTTCCATTTTACGGAAGGGAAACAGGACCCGCAGACAGCCAAATATTTTGCATTGTTTATTGAATTAGTATCGATGACGTGTCTGAATTGGCAGACACAAACTAAACGGAAAATTTGTGCCTTTTAGATGGATGAGCCCACAATAGAGAATGACATGCAAAAATGAATACCACGCAGTTAGCGAGGGAATGATATTATTTAAAATTCATTTAAACTTTTAAATACGACCAAAAATGGGATTTTCCAGAAAAGCCGCTTAAAATTAAATTAAATTTATAAACGATTTTGCTTTCCAATACAGTTTCAAATATTTTTTTTCAATTTAGTTGTAAAGAAAATTATCGTCAACCAGCCATAAATATTTTTAAAAATATCAAAAGGATTTATCTAGGAAAAAGTGTGAACTAGAAAATATTTTAAAATAAAATATTTACTAGATATTTTGATATTTTTAATGAATTTAGCTGTGTTATTTATAACCAAACAAATATATTTTTCTAAATATTAAAAGGAGGCACATAGGAACAAGTGTGTTTTAGAAAAATTGTTAAATAATAATAAAAATGAACAAAAAAGTAGTTTTAGAATTTACCTACAAGTACCTGCAATTTCTATTCCCTATTTTTTCCAAAAATTCTTTCTAAGTTGTTACCTTGTAAACGTAAACTCCATACCCCAAAGCCATCAACAGGCTTGCGGCATTATTTAATTATTTATGCGAAATACTTCACAGCTTGTGGCAAACACTTTGTGGGTGCCGCCTGGGTTTATGTGACTCTTTTTTGCAATTCACTCTGCAAAAGCCGGGGCTTCAATGCAATGGCCAGACACACAAATTACTTCATGCATGCAAAAGCATTTATAGTATATGTGTTATACAATTATTGCTGGCTTTTGGGGGACAACCAGATGGGCTTAAAGTCGTAAACAGAATTCACAAGGAAAATAAGACACAAATTTATATGGTTTTTTTTTCGAGGTGCCTTCTTTTTATTTCGGCCATCGCTCTGCTGGATGTGTCGTGTTACATGTGTTTACATGTCCTTAAACCTGCTCTCTTACAAAATAATGCAGCTCCTGCTGTGTTTACGTCACTGGCAGCAGCCACAGCAGCTTGTTCCTGCCATGTCCTTCGCCCGGCCGATTGCCACGACTTTGACAGAGCCCCAACAGCAGCCCACCCAAATGGCCCAGACTGGAATTGAGGGTCTCAAGGATATGCACTGAAATTGTAAGCTACACTGGGTACACATATTTAAGTATATATCTGGGTTATATATATG